ATATATATAATTGATTAGTAGTATTTCGAGCCAAAACGAGCCAAACACGAACAAACAAATATTGGTTTGTGTTCGGCTCGTTAACTTAGCGAACGAGCAGTACACGAGCTTCTTAACGAGCCGAACACGAGCTGTTCGCGAAAAACGAGCCGTTTTGACAGCCCTACTTACCCATAAATAAAAAAATGTGAATTTCACTTCTAAAAGCAGGCTGTATCTGGAGGGAATTATTAGGCAAACTTATTAATCTAAATTATATGTAAAAATATATATTTAAATTTATTATTTATATATATATATATATTTTAAAATTTAAAGGATATCGATAAATCCACACTTAATTCAATGTTGCATGTACATATTTTCTAAAATTACGTAAAAGATAACAAAGGTTCAAATATTCGCATACCTAAGCTGGGGAAGACCAGGTCTTCGGCACCTGTATCAAAGTCTTCGGCAACTGTATACAGGTTTCCGATGGGCGCATAATTTTGTCTGGACCTGTTCCAATGCTCATAACAGAGTTGCAATATAAGAAACTAACTAATATCTACTAATGTTTAATACCTTAGAGTACGTTTATTTGTGTCTATTGATTTTATGCCTTTAATGGGTAAACAATATTTTAAACAGGCCACAACAGTTTTATGTATTTACATATCGAACATCTAATTTTTTATATTTAGTTAATTACACTTATAATATACTTGCAAACCTTCCGGAAGTCAATGAATTACGGCTAGCTCCAGAGCTGAGAATAGGCTGAGAATCATCAACTGTTTTAAAAACAGTATAATCAGCCTTGTAAAGTATGTAAATACATACAAGCTACATAATTTTAATTAAAAAATGATGATAGAAACATACCACGACTATCAGAGGAAGTGAATCCTCCAGAGAAACCGCCAGGAGCAAAACCAAAATCTTCTTTAGCAGCCCGCATTTTGTCGATATCAAAACTACCATGCTCGAACTTCCGACATAAATATATCCATTCATAAAATAATGAAAAAGATAAAGTCAATATACATTTAGTATTGAACTTTAATTCCATTAAAATGTATATATGTTTATTAGGGGTGCCAAAATTATCCCACCAACCCGAACTTGATTGGAAATTAATCCAAAATTGACTTAATTAATTGTTATGTGTGTTTTAAACATGTTACACCGATTGAAAGTTCGAGCCATTCGAGTTGAATGGGGGTCAGTTTGGTTCAGATAGACTTTTTGACCCATTTAATATGTTGATTATATTCGGGTCGAGTCGATTTCAGTCAGAACCGAATACAATTGGGAACCCGATTTGACACTCCTAATCGTCATGCAATAAAACTCACAAGTTCAACGAAATCTTGGTGTATCACTTCCTCGGAGGATGAACGGGGTGTGTTCCTCTGATGTACTGACAATGAAATGAGAAGTAGGCATATGTTAGTTTGTTGGTTCACATTAATGCTTAATGTTAACACGAAGGAATATGATACTTACTTGCTGGCGTTTTAGGTTTTCCTATAGTACATTTTCTCCACAGTTCCATAAGTGGCTCTGGGTAATGAATGTTATGAAGAAAGTTGTTTGAGCTAGCTAAAAGACACAGCGGTGGCAGATCCATGAGAGTGTCTATCTTGGCTGAGCGCAATAGGTGAGTGGCCGGCTGTGTAAAAATTAATTAAAGAAAAAAAAAATCAATAAGGACAATTAAGTAATTCTGTAAGAAATGGGAAAAAAATGTAACAAGTAGCAAATTTTCCATACTGAATGACGCTATTGAGACTACAATAATGGGTTTTAGTATTATATGTGAACATAAATGACATAGTTTTTTGTGAATTTTCTATGTAATACAATGTTTACTGTTATATTCCGCACAATGGTTATCATCAATCATATTTTATTTGGAATGTTTACTTACATAACACCCAATTCTTATGTATTTGCATATCTGACACCTAAATTTTAATTTTTTTTACTTACATGTCATTTTTCACATACATGAAACGGTCCCTTTCATTTTTTAAAAGTTAAGATAATGACATGTTTTATGCGATAAGAAATTTTGGATGGCATAAATGTAAAAATTAAAGTTTATGTGTTAGATTTGTAAATGTATGTGCTAGATTTGAAAATGGTTTGGTACTTATTACTATGTTTTGAAAACTTTATGGATTCAAAATAGAAAAAAGTTAAAAAATTTATATATTATACTTGTGTCAGTTATAGTGTAAGAAGCTTAAATACCCATATTTGAATCTGAAATAATGGTCCAAAATGTTATAGTGTAAATATCAAATTTTCGGAGTTAGATATTTAAATACATAAGAATTGTGTGGTATTTATGTAAATTTCTCTAAATATTACTATAACATTCTTGAAATAAGGTAGTTGAGTGTAGAATTCTTAGTATTAGATTCAAAACAGAACAAAATTTTGATGTTGGGTCAAATATTTGCCATTTTGCTGTTAGAATAAAAACGAACTTACCATATTAAAAGAGAAACAACGGTAATATTTGAATTTTAACTGGATTAATTGACCTAGTTGATAGAGATTAGGAAGCTTTGCATACATAACATTTAATTCCTATGTATTTACATATCTAAAGCCTAATGTCACGGACAAATAGTCTCATATTGGCTAGCTGTATGGCCGAAAAACAGTATTTAAGTTCTGGGCTGCCCACTAAGAGCTATTTTGGGAGGTGACACTAAGCTTCATTTTTTTTTATACATATGCCACCTTATCTTTCTTTGAAAAGATGTATTTTAATTTTTAAAAGCTAAAATGGTGATAGTTTTGTTGTGATATGAAAGATAAAGAGTTGGGTGGTGCAAATGTAAGAAAATATAGTTTTGCTGTTAGATATGTAAATACATAGGAACCAGGTGGTATGTATGTAAATGCATCAATTAGAAATTAAATGCATGCGGTAAAATATGACCTTTGTCTTTTTCCTTCCAAGCGAACGGATGTCGGAAGCATCATTGAGCCACGAATGGTATGTTTCACTTGGGATCATGGTCTGCTCATCCATGATGACCTTACTTGAGTTCCTTTTTGCCTTCCTTTTGGTCGGGTGATGCACATCCGCCTCTTTCTTGTTACTCTGTTGAATAATAATTAAGGAAGATTTACATACATACCAATCAATTTCAATGTATTTACAAGTCTACACCTCAACTTTAAAATTTACATGCATACAACGTAATGTAAGGATGGAAAGCGTACTTATCTTTGTAAAAGTTAAATGATGGTATTTTTGATGTGATGAGAAAATTTTGAGGGGTTAAAAAGGAAAAAGTAAAACTATGGTGGTATTAATGTAAATATGCAAGAATTGGATGATAGGTATGTAAATAGGTACGTAAATGCCCTTAATTTATTATTAATTCTAATGAGATGGAAATTCATTGAAAAAAAAATTGAATAGAAACTGTGTCTTAGCCCACCAATTGGGCTTCTTGGTCTACCTCCTCTTTGGCTTGGTTCTCTATTTCCATCTGTTTGTGCCCCATTCCATCATCTGTGGGGTAAAATATATCAATAATTTGTATAATCAATTTATATTATTAGTCAATTTAATTAGTGTGATCATGATTTTCATCGTCTCAGATCGGTTTCGAATGGTTTAGTTTGAAACCGATCCAAAACTTGTTTATATTTTTGTGTTTCGATCGGTTCCAATGGTTTCAATTGCTCTGGTAGAATTGCAAAATTTGGGAAGAAATTTAAAAAGAAAATTTACATACGTACCAAATAATTCTTATGGATTTACATATCTAAAACCTAAAATTTGATATTTATTTTCATAACACCTTGATGCTATAAAAAACTGAATAACCATAATCATAATCATAACTCAATCTTGAATATACAAACACATGACTCGGGCGTGCGTGCGCACATCGAGGTGTAAACGAGTTGTCGAGCTCGAGCTGCCCTTGACTTGAGCTTGAGCTTGACTATTTAATTGTGGTCAAGCTCGAGCCTTATTCATAGAGTTTGAGCCAGCACTGGCTCACACCAACTTGATTAATATAAAAAAGAGAATATTAATTCAAACTAATGATATAATAAAACAACAACTAATATGAGCAATTACAAGATAATAATAACAAATTATTTGATATAAAATATAAAATATAAAATATTTTTTTTAAAAAAAATATTTTTAATGATTGAAATATAAAATATAGAATTTTATTATATATTAATATATTTTTTATATTAATTAATTTTTAAATTAGAAGATGAACCGGGGCTGACTTGAGCTTGACTTGTTAGCTCATCGAGCTCAGCTCATGAGCCACTTACCAAATCGGACCCGAGCCCACTCACAAGCGTACTTGTCTCACATAAATAAATAATCGATACAGACCATGGAGTGGTTCCTGCGGTGGAGGGGACGGAGGAACTCGAGGTTGAGAATCTGGCAAGACTTGAGACGTGAAGTCAGCCTCAGTGAAGGTTTCATCTACAATATCAAATCTAAGAACAAGAAAACATTTGAAAAAAAAATTATAAAATATTGATTACTTCATACGAAAATGATAAAAAAATTTTAATTTATTGGAAAAAAAAACCACCATTGATGCTGAAATGATTCTTACCTGTCGAACTGATCAGAGGGGACGGTGTGTATTGTGCTCAAATCAATTCTATCAGGCAATGTGATGTCGGCTGGATTAGCTGCAAGTTTACAAGTCAGTTTAAGAATTTAAAATTAAAATGACACAACTAAAAGATTTCAAAATTCTATTTTGACAATCGCTATACAATTTTTTGCCATATAATTTGTGAAGATTTACATACATACCGCTAAATTTCTATATATTTACATTTCTAAAGCCTAAGCTTCAATTTTTACGTATATGGCACGTTGCATATGCCTGAAAAGATGTATTTCACTTCTTAATAGTTAAAATGGTGGTATTTTTTATGTGATTTGAAAGATTTGAATGATATAAATATAAAAAATAAAGTTTAGATGTTAGATATGTAAATACATATGAATTGGGTGTTATGTATGTAAATACCCTATAAGTTGTGCATACCTTGATGATGCTGCCTTTGAACAGAGTGGTCATCGTCGCCAACAACTATGTTGACATATTGATCATCCAAATCTTGCAATGTCTGCAGATGTTAATAAAAATGAATGTATAACATGAAATTAATTCCTTGAATTTTTTTAATTATGCAGAAATGTAATAGGAGTATTACTAATCTCTAAACTTCGATGATGAAAATTAAAATACTTTGGGCAGGAAACCTCGGTGGATGAAGACAAAATGGAAAGAATTTCAAAATCAGGAATTTTAAATTTTAGTGTAAGGTTATCTGACCGCAAGATTAATCAATAGCCCCATGACTCAAAAATCCATTTAATATACTATAGTAATTTATCTTATTAATTTTTTAATATTTTGTTTCACTTAAGCTCATAAATCTCAAATTCAGGTTCTAATCTTCTGCAAATTATTAATAATCAAATAAATATATGTAAAATTTATTTGAATTTCGCTAACAGAAATTACGGAAAAGTTCCAATCAATTTGGTCATCATTTTTAAATCAAAGTATATGATAGATTAAATTAATAAACATAATTTTTGCATTATTACAGCATTGAAAATGGGGAAAAAATCGCATTAAAATGATAGATTAGAAATTGAGAATTTCCAAGGACATCACCATTTTCCGGAATCTGGCGACATCAAAAAATGGGGGGTGGATGGTGTGCTGCTCCATATTCACGTCGAAATTATCTATGTCCGTGATTGTAATTGCAGCCTCGGACCTTCAAACAGTTGCAGGTCTCAATTATCATTAGACATTAGTGAGAGTAGTGTCGGAGAGAGAGAGAGATTCGACATTATACCTGGCCTGTGCTCTGCGCTTGGCCTGAGTTTTGCAGCCGGCGTCGACTGCATTCTTTGCCTTGAAGACTCTATTGAGCTCCTCCTATGCACAAACATTATTATCATCTCACAATCAACAGATTATCAAAAATCATTGGATCTATAGAATCAAACAATGCGAAAAAAGATGAAGACAAGATTAATTTGAAACCGGTTAAATCGAGAAGATCAGAGAAAATACCAAGAATCGATTCACATCATCTGCAACATAGCCAATGCACAACCAAACGATGGGTAACTTTGTTAAGAATGCAGACTGAATTGGCAGAGATAAAAATAATGAGAGAGCAAAGCACAGATCGAGTGCGAATCGTACCATAGAGAAAGTCAACTTTTCGTTTGTACACATTCACAACACCACCTAAGAAGAAGCCCGATTAAACCGAAATGAGAACTGATGCGAAAACTAAGCAGCAGAACTAATAATAAACGGAAATTCCATTATACGGATTATAAGAAGCAAATAGCATCTAATGCAACTTACCCATTAGAATTCCCGAAAGCCTCAGAGCCATCGGAATTGAAGGGTTAAGGATCTCTTCACTGCAATGAAGATTAGAGACAACGATTAAGTTAAAAAGAAAATGGAATGAATGCAATATTAGCAAACATCCTGAAATAAAAATCGCACCAAATCAATGGGATATTGAGCTTCTCTAAATTTCTTCGCTTAATCTTGTTATTCAAGGTCGCAGCCATCCTGCATTCAAATATAGCTCAGAATCTGTTAATGAATCGATCAACCGGTAATCAAACCAGACAAACTTCACTGAAACAGAGACTAACACTCACCAGATCTGGCCGAGAGGAGCCTTCCTCGCAAGGAGCTGATGAGAGTAAAACATTGCTTTGTTCTTAGCTCAATTAGCTTGTATCCTTCTTCTTCCTCTGCTTCCTTCTTATCACTTGCTCCCAGCGGGAAGAAGATGCGGCAAGCTGCTATTTATATTCCGTTATACCGTACGCAAAGAATGAAATTACAGTACAGCCCATACGTTTTAGCAAAATTACTTCGCAAATCTATATCGCCCGATTTGTTCGTCAGATGATATCGACGGTTGTGATTCACGGGTTCTCGTCCTCTGGGTCGCTTCTTCTAGAAATTTAAACCCAGTCATCCGAGCACGCACTTTCTGTTATAATTACAGTTACACATTTCGCTTGAGGACGTTCCAATATATATATATATATATATTAAAAACAATGATTAACATTTTACATAAATACCGAAGAATTTCCTATATATTTACACATACAATACTTAAACTTTATTTTTTGCATTTTAAATACTCTTATAAATGTAAAAAAATTAAAATTTAAGTGTTACATACATAAATATATGAAAAATATATTCTATTTGCAAGCTCATCCATTAATGGAAACTGGTCAGATAGACCTAAATGTCTTTCCCAATTTTTAAACAATGAATTAATTTTTATCAAATTTGAACAAGGGAAATTCACACATTAACACATATTTCATGTATTTACACATCTAGCAAGTAAACTTCAATATTTACACACATAGCACCGGTATCATAAATCCATGCAAAAAAATACTTTACAAAATAAAAAAGATAATTTTATATGATATTAATGTAAATACACAATAATCAAAGAATGAATTTTAAGAGTCTGTTTTGGGGCACAGGATAAGCAACTTATCCTCAAACGCGGCCCACGAGTCGACCGCAAGGGTCAATCCGCGGCCTGCATTTAGTGTAAAAAATCCAAACGCGACAGACGGTGTTTCCAAAAACACGCAAACCAAACGGTTATGCAGCCGCAAACAAACCGCACTTATAACATGCAGCACTTATCAGCTGCCCCAAACGGGGCTTAGAGTCCACAAAAAAGTCGTTTTATTACATTATACGTGCAGAAATGTTTCAACATAAATTTCTACATTTCGACAAAATTTTACGGTTCGATTTTAGCTCGAAAAATCACAATAAATCAGAGCCAATAATTTAAAAATTCATTACATGATCAAACATGACTTGTTTAGAGATGATCGAAATCAGCGTGTCACTCGATAAGCCTGCAAACACAATAAAAGAATTTTAGGAGTAGAAAAATTGCTTTTTTAAAAGTATTTTTCATGAAAAAAAAACTCAATTATTTGATAAATTTACATAGAGACCACCCAAAACTTGCTATTTACAAATCAACAATCCTCTTTCATCCATTTTTCAACTTGTCACTCAAATATCGTATAAAAGAAAATCACCATTGGTGTAATTTGTAAATATCAATGTTTGAGGTGATTTGCACGTAATTATCCGACATTTTTTATAGGATGAATATCAAAATCTTGAGAAAAAATTGCGTATGTAAGACGTACGCAGCGCTGCACACATAATCTAGGTTATCAGGGTTTAATACAGCGGGTATTGGAGGGTTATATCCGCGTTATATCTCCAGTAACCTACCTGTAAGCTACAAATATATAAAAACAGAAGCGCGAAACTTATTTGTAGGTTACAGGTAGGTTACAAGAAAGTTACAAGGGGGTATAACGTGGATATAACCCCCCCAATACCCTCTGAATAACCTCCCTAACGTACGCAACGCTGCGTACGTAATTTTTTTTCCAATATCTTTAAATTTACTTGAGGATAAATTTCATCTAAACTTTTATATTTATATTTATAACACTTTAGCGTCACCAAAACGCTGCATGAAAAGATGCATCACCTTTAAGAAATAATACACAGGTTTTTATATGATGCTAAAGATTTGAGGGTTAAATATGGAAATATGAAGGTTTCGGTGTCAGATTTGTAAATACATAAGAAGTTCATGGTATGTATGTGAATGACCCATTCATATATGATGTATCAAACTTATTCCGAAATAAATTTAATCAATTCTTATGTAAATATATATATGAAAATGTATATTTAATTTTTAAAAAGTTAGATATAATATCTGTGTGTAGATATGAAAGTTTAGTGTTAGATATGTAAATACATTACTTATTTTTTAAAACGAAGGACAAAATCTAATACCTTAATTGTTTTGAGTAGCTCTCTCGCTTCCTTGTTGTTCTTGAAGTGGTCTCGCACAGGCTGCAAATAAAAATTCCAGCAGAAATTAAGAAAATAATTTTTTTTTAAAAAAAACAAGCATAATTAGGGCTGTCAAAACAGAAATTCCAGCAGAAATTAAGAAAATAATTTTTTTTTTTTAAAAACAAGCATAATTAGGGCTGTCAAAACAGCTCCTTGTTTGCGAACAGCTCATGCTCGGCTCGTTAAGAAGCTTGAATTCAATTTATTCGCTGAGTTAACGAGCCGAACACCAACACTATTTTTGCGCTCAATATATAATCAAGCGGAACACGAACAAAGATTTATTCGTTCGTGATCGGCTCATTTTGGCTCGAAATACTACTCATCAATTATACATAATTATATATAAGTATTATTTTTTTAAAAAAAATTAATTAACTACAAGGCTACAAAAATTTAAAATTTATTAAAATTATTAATTAAAAAAATTGAATGAAAATATGTTAAAATATATTTAAATGATGTTTTAATATAAATAATTCCATTTATATCATGCCCCAACCCTCGCGTGACTAGAGTTATCAAAACGACTCTCTGCTTGTGAACAGCTCGTGTTCGACTCGCTAAGCAAATGAGCATAACACGAACACACTTTTTATGTTCGAAATATATACGAGTCAATCACAAACAGTGATATTTTTTAATGAGCTGAGTCTGAGCTCGCGCGTGTTCGGCTCGTTTACTCCCCTAAACATAATAATATAAAATTGGAACCCAGAATAACCAAATTATAACAAGTTAGATCGAATTTCACCATCCAATATCCCTTCTAACAGAGCAAACTTTATTAATCTCGCAGCAAAAATAAAAATGAAAATAAACCAAAATGTAAATGATAAGAAATTCACTTATTTCTATATGGAGATTTAAATAATTTATATATGGAGATTTAAATATATATATATATATATATATATATGCCACAATTCCTATGTATTTACATGTGTAACACCTAAACTTCAAATTTTAAATTATGCCACCATATTTGTGCATAAAAGGGTGCATTCATATTTTTAAAAGTTAAAATAGTGATATTTTTAATGTGATGTCAAAGATTTGGGTGGTATAAAAGTAAAAACTAAAAAAATTTTAGGTGTTAGATATGTAAATACATAGGAATTGGCTAGCATGTAAGTAAATGACCCAAAATTTTTATACCAAAAGCAAGGTTTAATCAAAAGGATAAAGGGGGCGTTTATGTGCATACCACACAATTCTAATGTATTTACATATCTACCTTCTAAAAATTCATATTCACATGCATATAACTCAAAAGCATAAATATTATATAAAAAATGACACCCATCATCATCCTTCATGCACAAATTTATGGCAACAAGAGGTTATAAATGTAAATATCAAGCTTTTAGTGTTGAGACATGCAAATTCATCAGAATTGCAGACTTAAGGAATCAAATTATGAGCACAATGATAAAAGAAAATAAATGAGATGACAAACGTACCTGCAAAATCTCTTTTAGTGTTGAGACATGCAAATTCATCAGAATTGTGGAATGTATGTAACTAAAGACTTTCAACTTAAGGAATCAAATCATAAGCCCAATGATAAAAGAAAATAAATGAGATGACAAAAGTACCTGCAAAATCGCATTTAGAGCTTTGGATATTGCAGGTTTTACATCAGCTGGATGCAACGATCCACTTTCATAATCTGGAATTAGCTCTTCCATGCAGGCGTATGTCCTGAATGAAAAAAAAAGGATTATAGAATAAAATTTAAGAGGGATATAGAAATGATTAAGGGGCCGTTTGGTCGAATGAATATGTGGTGTGTTGCAATCATGTGTTTGGTACGACGAATGCAATGTAAAGTTTGAATGAATTTGAAACTTTACACCGTTATTCATTTGGACTGGATTTGAATTACACCATTCATTAAGATATAAAATACTATCTGCAAGCCGTCGGCCCAGCTGGCCGTCGACATATAGCACCAAAAAAGGAGTGGTGAGATAATGTTTGTCAAGGTCATTTATCTTTTGTGGCATTTACATACTTACCATCGAAATCTTTTGTATTTACATATTAACATCTAAACTTTAATTTTTACATTTATATCATCCAAATCTTTCATATCACATGAAAAAATAAAAATAAAAAAATCACTATTTTAACTTTTAAACAACAAAATACAGCTTTTCATGCATAGGGAAGTTGGCATACATTTAAAAATTGAAGTTTTGATTTTAGATATGTAAATAGATAAGAATTGAGTGGTATGCATGTAAATCTTCCTTATTTGTTATGAAAAGGTTGAGATCAGAGGCACATTTTTTTTTTTTAAATTCAAACATTTGATTCATTTTTCAAAGCATGCTTAGGATGGCTGCCTAAATATTCTCCTATTCAATAAGCAATAAATAGTCATTTTATGAATAAATAGACATATATTGCTACCATGTAGTCAGCTCAACATTTATTTCATATCAAATTATCTGAGCTTGGTTTAAGTTTCAGTCAAAATTTAAGATGGATAAACATAAAAAGCTGCATGCTTATAGAAGCGCATTTACATACACGCCCACCCAATTCCTATGTATTTACACATCTATCATCTTTACACGACCCAATCTTTCATATTACATAAAAAATACTACCAATACACCTTTTTATGCAAGGGTAAGGAAGCATTTATGTAAAAATTGGAAGTTTAGGGTGTTAGATATGTAAATACATAAGAATTGAGTGGTCTGTATGCAAATCTTCTGATTTTTTGGTTTCTTTTTTTCCAATGAAGGTAATAAATTATTATCAGCAAAAGCAAAGGAAAATAAAACCATTATAAAGAATCCAGACTTAACTTGTTTCCACCATTTTCTTCTTGACGAATAACCTCGAATTTATGAAACCATGGGAAGATGATATACTTGATGTATTCTAAGCAAGGATTGCCCTCCACAATTTTGGGTGGACAGTATGCTTTCTTTATCTTCACATTAACTTCGGCCTACATGAAAATATAAATAGAGATTCAGGTAAAATTTATGCAAAAATGTGAATAAATGAGAAGTGAGATAAAGGAAAACAATTCATTAGGGGAACTCTGAAAACAAGAGCACGAAACAAACACGAAAATAGTATAATTGCTTTCATGAAAAAGAGGAGTTTTTGACTAGGAGTACATTTGGGGCCGCGGTGTGGTGAGGCACCGCACAACAGTTTTGTTTGTTTGATAAACTGCGCTTTGACAGCTTTTTCAAAAAGCCGTTACTGAAATCTACATTTTCCCAACAATCCTGGCTAGGTGCGCTGCAGTGACAGCTTTCTAGATGCGGTCTGACATTTTCAAAAAAAAAAAAATTTTACTAGCCACCGCAACTTTTTGAACATCAAATTATTTTTCAGCAGCTACCCCAAACAGACCCTATGCCTCATAATGAATGTTTCACATCAAAATCTTTAGATCAATCTTTGCTTTTTTAATATTTATTAAATTAAATGAACATCCTTTAGAACTCATAATTGTTAAGGCTAATTTTTTTGCTTTTGCGTATACAGACAATGGACTTAAATCAATGCATGTGCTTTATGCATTTCCTTCATCTATATAATGTTTCCTCTGCACTACTATTGAAGACACGGATCCATTCCAAATCACAGAGCATTACTCCTTTTCATTTAATTTTTGGAAATTTACATTCGTAGCATACAGTTCTTATGTATTTACATATCTCATATCTAAACTTCCATATTTACATACATAGCTATTCGGTGCTTCAAACCCATGCATGAAAATGTGTATTTGACTTTTAAAATGTGATAATAGTCTATTTTTGATGTGATATTGAAGATTTGTGTGCTATGTGTGTAGAAAAGAAAGCTTAGGTGTGAGATATGTAAACAAATAAGAATTGTGTGCTATATATGTAAAAGCCCCATAAGGTTTTATATGAACTCATCAATGGGGTAAATATACTCCCACTTACTATATGTTCTATTTGGGGTCCAAGAGTCGCAAAGAAATGACAGATTCTTACAATGTTCTAATGGCGGCTGATCTTAACTGGAAAGAGATTATTTCTTCTTAAAAATGAACTCTGTTAAACATGACATTGCAATAGTGGTGTGCTCATAACTAAAATTAGGAGCAATTACATGCAAGGCACTCAGAAACATTGTTATTGACAAATCTAACACCCTCTTTCCGCCACTTTTCAAATTCTCACTCAATCGAAATTCACGCTAAGACCCCAACCCATATTTCTCACTTTTATCAAATTCTCAATGGTTTGATCATGGCATGTCTAAATGCGTCGGTTTGATAGTTTAAAAAATCATATAGGTGCTAATTTTGTAAATTGAAACATTTCGAGTGCTGTGTACGTAATTATCGGTAAATTTACGCCCAGATGAATACTGTTAGCAGATTCATTCCATGAAAGAAAGTATCTGCAAAGTAGAATCAAAACCCTTGTTGTTGCTGAGTTTTTCCCATGTCAAGTAGGTCTAATCTAGTAATAGCATTAGGTTGAGTCATATTATCTTTCCTCTCAAAAGTGAGGTCCAGCTTTCGAACCGTCACACAAACCAAAAAATAAAATGGGTAGTATTTACATACATACCACCCAACTTTTCATTCATAGGTAATATGGCACGTATGACAAAAATGAAGTTAGGTGTTAATTATGTAAATACATTAGAATTGAGTGGTATATATGCAATATTTCAAAAATAAATAAATAAATTCCTTCATCCCCTTCAGATATATGAAGCATTTCATTACCAGTTTTGGGACCTGTGTACTGCTTAAAAGAAATAAAAGACGACCATATATAATGTGACTTCAACCAAACCAAAAAGGGGTATTAACAAACATACCACCCAATTCATATGTATTTACACATCTAACACCTAAACTTTACTTCTTATATTTTTACCGCCCAAATCTTTCAAATCACATTAAATATATTTTGACTTTAAAAACTGGAATACACCTTCAAACAACTTATGTGCAGTTGTACTAGGTACAAATGGTAATTTGTGACTTTTGTTAAGATGACACACATTGCAAAATGAAGAACTGAAAGGAATGTGGCGAGCTAGATTTGCATTGGAGATAGTCACAGAAATCCTTCGTTGCAGATGGCCAAGCCATTGGTGCCAAATGTGGGGGTGGGTGGTTGAGCTCAGCGGCGTGATTGTTGGTTCGGGTGGAATGATATAGAAGCCTTCTGTCAATGGGAACTTAAAGGACAGTCTGCTTGGTCCTTTGATCCTGCACGTAAGTATCAAAAGGGATGAGGCAGTGATTGTCTTTTGCTAACTGGTGAACTGTGAGATAGATTGGGTCTACGAAGTAGATACGATTGGTTTGTGTTGGGGTGTAGGTAGGATACCATTGTCGGTGTGACTGATCTGAACTTAGTGACCATTCCCAACTGAAATGTGCTTTTCACTAGAGTAGATATAGGGTTATTGCAAATTTTCAATATGTGGTGTGAGATAGAAGGAGGCAACGGAGTACAAGATCCATTCTTGCTGTGGAGTGGAAGTGATTAATGCATTGTGTGATGAGTTTGAGTGAGATGTGGGTTTGCATTAAAGGTTTGATTATGCCGAAAGTTAGCAGCTGAGGGACCACGAGTTTTTGATTGATAGGTTGTTGATTTGCTGTTTCTGGGATGGTTGCGTCCTATGGTGCGATGAAGAGTTTGAGTGCCTTTGTTTTTAATGGTTGTAAGAAAGATAAGAGGATGTTGTTTGGCAATTTCAGTAGCGAAATAATCTTTTCATTACATATTGAGGAGAAAAAATCATCTAAGCTGATTGGATTTATCAAATTGTAATTTTGAATGGATGAGAGATCGATGAGGATGGCTAACCATATTTAAAGAAGACACCCGACCAAAATTTTCAGGGGAAGCAAGCGACTTCTTCACATTTACAACCAAATACTGGTCCAAACTCAATTTCGAAACTGTATTTACGCCACAGGCCTAATGCATTTTTTTCCCATATTTATTACATATACATCTCATCCTGTAATGCACGAGACCCTAGGTCTTTTTCTATAAATTGGGGACTGCCAAGAGAGCCAGGGATTTCAACATTTTTTAGTTCCTATACTCTAGATCTCATATCTACTTTCTATAATTTTTTTAGCCTACTTAGTGGAATTATTTTTTCCTCTCTACCAATACCTCTCATAACTCTCTCAACTTTCTCTGGGCTAATAAGACTATAACATAACCTATGGACAAATCAAGATCCAACAATATCTTCCGCTTTGGATGAAATCGGAAAATCAAGCTAAAGATTGAAGTTCGAAATCACTAATGGCAATACCAATTAGATGTTATACAAGGTAATTATACTTAGTATCTATCAAGATATATTTGATAATTTGTACCTACTTGATATGTAATGTTTAATCACCCTTGCTGGTGCTAGATGACTAAGGATGGGAAGAAATATTTACCGAAGGATTATAGAGTATCAGCAATATATGTGATGATGACAAGAAAGGAAAGTACATTTATAGATACTACAAAAAAAAGAACTCTTGCACATTCTATAATAAGCAATAGCTGGAAATTTATAAATAAGCAATAACTGTTTGTGCAATATGCATCGCTCTTCCAAGAGGTACAAAGGTTGCCACCAAAACGTCCCATAAGTATAGCATATACATTTTAGATGCATTGCTCCCTAATTTTTTAATTTGCAAAACTTAAACCTGGGAAATGAAGAGATAAAAAAAAAGCATTGCAAATTTGCTTTAAAATAGATTTTATTTAGTCTAGCAGTTTGTTTAGTGGAGTGCCCATCTTGATGTCCAAAAGAATGATGGCAAATAGAAAAACTATCTAGTTTGTTATTTGTTGAACAACTTCCCCCCGTTGTTGTGGCTTTTTTAGAATTGAATAAAAATTTAAGAAAAGAATTGAGAGGGAAATCTTCAACAACGAGAAAGTAATGTCTAGAGATGCTTTCATTAATCAAAATTGTAAAGAGCATTCCCTACATAGAAAAAACTCTTCAGCTCCTCCTTTGCTCTCTAGCTGAAAAGTCAATGTGCATCACCCCACAAAAAAGTATGGTGAGATGTGCCGGGTCTTCTTGCTAAACCCCTTGCTTGAATGGCATGAAAGCTTTGACCATTTTTTCTTAATAGATAATTCTCCCATGTAATACAAAGGGGTATTAATCATCAGACCATGTGCCCTTAGAAAGCCATAAACTTTGCACATTAGAATGCCTTAAAATCTGAATTTAAAGTTTTCAAAAGATTATAAAATCTATTGATAGTATTTTATCTACTATTGCCTCCTAAGAAATTATCCTAAATCCTCAACCGAGTTGAGATTGAATTCTCAAAGCCCACAATTAAGGAATTATTAGATATAATTGACAATAATGATTTAAAATAACAAAAAAATTATATCATTGAATTACTAAAGTCGTGCTAATTTCTAACATTTTATAGAAAATTATAACGTAAAAAAATTGAAATTTACAGATAATATATAGCATTAGTGATTGATGGTACACATACATATATGTACTATAGAACAAAATAATACCACAATTGAAATTTTATTTTCTAAAAACTTTTAAATTAAAATGTTTAGCCAATTGTGAATATTTGATGTAGCAATTTTTTTTTTTACATCAACTGAAAATACCCATCAAAGTATCACAAGAATTTTCTTGAACCTTTTTCTTAAACATAAAACAAAACATTAGAGATTTATTTTTTGTTCCACAACAACAACAACAAAAAAAACTTTATACCACAACCTTATTTCTTCTACATTTTACCCTATTGAGTGTCATATTTTCCTTTAAATATAATAAATTAATATCAATTTTTATACAACATGCCCTAATCTTTTTAGGTCTACCTCTACCTTTCCTAGCATAAGCCAAATCTAAAGCATATACTCTCTTAATCTAAGGTGACTATCTTGAATCTTGTATGCCACTAGAGCTACTCCAACCCTTTCACAAATATATTTGTTTCACATTTTTTAAAGTGTAAAGCCAATTATCCATCCGAGCATTCTCATCTCAGCAGCACTTAACTTAATTTAATGCTTCTCTTCTACAGGCCAAGATTTTGCGCCATAAAAAATTGCACGTCTCACAACCATCTTATAAAACTTTTCTTTAAGTTGTGCTTTTCTATCACACAATAGGCCTAGTGCATTTCTCCACTTCAACCATCCATCTTGAATTCTACTAATAACATTCCCAACTATATCACCATCACTTTGAACAATAGACACGATATATTTAAAGCATTCACTCCTTTTAAAGACTTAATCACCCATTGTTGCAAACTTACCACTAGATCTACTACTACTAAAATTACATTCAATGTATTCAGCTTTAGATCTATCCAAATGAAAAACCTTTAGACTCAAAAATTAACCTCCATAATTTAAATTTTTCTTGAATTTTCTCTCGTCTTATCCACAAGAAGGATATTATCAGCGAAAAGCATCGCCAAGATACATCCTCCTGTAAATGTCTAGTAATAACCATCCAGCTCATATTCAATCCCTGATGTAATCCAACTGCAATAAGAATTTCTTGCTTGTTCTAGAAAAAAAAATGATAACTAACCAACAAAAAGACAATGATACACATTCACAACATTGGTCTTTAATATCAAAATACACATTTAGGTGCCCAAACTTATAATTAGATTGTCATAAACAAGGAGAGGTCCACAATGAGATAATGAAAAAAAAAGTTTTCCAAATCATGGGCAATAAATCAACAAAAAAACTTCAACAAATCAGCATGAAACTGCAATAAAATTATTAATATTCCATGTCTACTCATCCTATCATACCTCTTCATCTTCCATAAAGATTGAAGAAGAGGGATCACTCTTTGACATTTTCTCCTGCCCCTGCTGCAGCCCAGGAAGCATGTCTAAATTTCAATTTCAGTAATGGGAAGCAAAAGCACAATTAAAATATACATATTAAATTACAAATTTATTATTTTGCATCAAGGATACGGTGCGACAAAATAATAGGCTTGTTCTTTCTCTTAATGTCATCACAATATTCTCTTGCAAGCACATTTACTTTTCTCTGATCCATGCCTAGTTGGCAAATGTCAGCCTACAAAAAAAGGAAAAACAATAAATGATAAAACAAATCCATTGCATTGCGAGTAATATAAAATAGAAAGATTTACATACATACCAATCAATTCCTTGGTATTTACCTAAACACCTTTTACATGCATACCACCTTATCTATGCAAGAAAAGGTGTATTTCACTTTTTTTAAGTTAAAATGGTGGTATTTTTATGTAATTTGAAAGATTTGGATGGCACAAATGTAAAAAAAAAAAAAGCCAAGTTTAGGTTTTGCATATATAAATACATAGGAATTTGATGTTATGTATGCAAATTCCCCTATAAAATAATGGAAATATAAGATTTCAAGACATATAAGTGAGATTACTAAATAAGCAGAAAGGCAAGAAGTAAGGAATCACCTTTAAGAAGAAAATGTCAGCACATTGCATGCATGGATAAAATATTTGGGCAGCTGTTAGCTCATCTTGTTCGCTTCGGCCCATGATTTGACAACACCTGAATTACAATATACAATGAAATTTTTAAGTGTACTTCACTATGAAATATAAAGAAAATGACGACTTAAGGTCATTTCTTTAAAGAAGATTTACATACATACCACTCAATTTCTATATATTTACATATTTAACACCTAAAAAACAATCTTTACATAAATACCACCTTAACTACGCATCAAAAGGTGTATTTCACTTTTTTAAAATTAAAATTGTGATATTTTTTAAGTAAAATGAAAGATTTAGATGGTATAAATATAAAAGTTATAGTTTAGAGGTTGTTTGGTATCACTCTTCTTTTTTATTTTCTATTTTTATTTTTAGTTTTATTTTTCTTTGTTTATGTTTTGATTTGAAACAAAACCTTTTTGGCAATTTTGATTAAGATGTCAATGTTTTTATAAACAATCAAAACACCTAAAAGTTGTTTTGAGTGTTTTCAGAAATATGTTAAAGTATTTTTAGAACCAAAAAATAAAAATATGTAAAAAACAGACTAAAAAAACATAGTTTTAAAAATAAAAGAAGAGATAAAAAGATAACAAAAAACAAAATTGATCCCAAACAAGCCATTAGGAGTTAGATATGTAAATAAATCAGAATTTTGTGGCATGTAAGTAAATTCCCGTTTCTTTTAAATACATGAGATAAAGTGAGAGGGATAGACTTATACCGTACTATCCTCGCTAGCGTATTCCTTCGAGCTATATCCATTACAAGTGCCCAATATTCGTCAGGTCGACTATTTATTTCATTGGAAGACCATAAAAACTCAACTTTGTCAGTTTTCATTCCTGCAGCTTTCCATATCTGAATAAGATACTCTCCAATCTTGTGTATTTTATTCAAATCACCACCCATTTTATTGTTCAATTGAGCAAACAAATCTGCTATCCATATCTTTACAGTGCAGCCAGCTGATGTCAACTTGTTCACATTTATTGTCTTCATAACACCCTATTCATGAAAAATAAGTTTATATTAGATTGTTCCCAACTGATTGGCAGCTTATCCACAGCTGTGAGCTTCATATTCCCGTGCCAGGAAGGGATTATAGATTTTTCTAAAATAGAATTAGTGCATAGAAGCAAACTTAATCGTTAGTTTGCAGCCAGACCAAAGCAACTAGGGTGTGTAATTAGTTAATTTGGATGGATCGATTCACAAATTAGTCAAAACCGAATGAAAGAAAAATCCGAAATCCCAAAAACCAAACAGACCAATTTTTTTTGCTAAAACAATCTAATCTGAAATGAAATATAATTAAATTTAATCAATTCGGTTCAGAGTAAAACGGAATTTAGCATTTAGCCTAAAATAATTAATACTTAAAGTTCTATTTCAAAATTAAAATTTTTTTTGCAACTAAGATCCAACTGAATGCTAAAAGTTTTGAAACAAAAAACCGAATTGCTATTTTACAATTGAATCGAATCAACCAAATGAGCTTGTTTTGGTTCAATTTTTTTTTTTGTTTTTGATCAAATAATGCACACCCCTGAAGGCAACCATTACTCAGAACTAGGAGCTCTTAATTCTGTATACCATACCGATATGATTAGCTAATTAACAGTTGAAAAAAAAAATCGATTGTCAAAGGTATAAGAAATCAGGACACAAGATCTATAGAAGATTCACATACATGCCAACAAATTCTTATGTGTTTACATATCTAACACCAAAACTTCAATTTTTATATATATGCCACCTTATCTGTTATGCATGAAAAGGTATGTTTCACATTTTAAAAGTTAAAATCGCAGTATTTTTCATTTCGTAAAGAAGATTTGGGTGGTATAATGTAAAAAAGTAAATTTTAGGTGTCCGATACGTAAAAACATAAGAATTGGGTGGTATGTATACAACTGACTCGAGATCTAACCCACAAAACTAGGATAATTCAGTTCATAGATGTTCCAAAAATTAGGATTATCATGTTTGCATGTTGCACTTAGACTCTGATCCACACACACAGAGTGGTCTAATCAATTACTTCATTTTTCAAGTAATCAATTTTAAAGAGACCCAAAGAACAATGCATAAGAGAAACTTTGTACCTGCGCAATATGCATTCTCCCAGAGGGCTCAAACCCATCATAACAGATAGGATTCAGCTTCTTCGCCAACAAATTCCGGAGCTCATCCTCCTGAATGCACTCCTCCCCAACGCTCCTCACCAAAGCGAACCTCTCTTCCAGAGATAACCTTAAAAACACCCAGCGGCGCGAGATAAAACCGAAGAACGAGTGAATTAGAGCCATGGATTACAACATACTACACTGAATCCCTAAAAAAGGGAAGGATCTAATGCGCTATACGAGGGTTAGACAGACAAGCGACTTACGACAAGGGTTCGGTCTGAGTGGTTGAGGAAGATGCAGCGAGGGATATGGATCCTATGTCCGGAGCGTCGTCCGCGGCGGAGTGCTGCTCGGCCTTGATTGCTTCCGCCATGAAGCCGATGCGGAGCTCTAAGGGCCTGTCTGGTAACGGATTTAGAGCAGGATTGAGCAGGATTTAACCTAAATCTTGCCACACAGCCATTTTGGACAAAATAAAGCCTCGGATATGATAAATCTGGATTTCGGCCTTAAATCCCCGATTTACTAAATCCAGTGAATCGGTAGATTTAGTGAATCCGGGAAGGACACTTCGCGCGAAAAAAGAAAGAAGAAGTGAAGTTACCTTCCTCAATGGTTTGGAGCAGGAGAGGAGCAGAAGGAGGGAAAAAATGGGAGTTTCGGGTCTCTGTAAGCCGCGATCCCTTCGTTGCGTTCCTAGCTAGCTTCACTTACGACTGTATCGTGGGGGGGATTATTGCGTGCGGATGGTGTTCGATCCTGGCCGTAGATCACGGTGATCTACGGTCAGGATTATTTTCGTTTTCTAAAAAAAGAAGTAAAAAATTTTAGGTTACGGTCCGGATCGTGGAATAATTTTTCTGTATCGTGAGGGTTTGGTGACGATGGGAGGGACGTGCGAGGGTTTGTGGGATAGAGGAGTACTTTATTAATTTAATTGATTAATAATTAATAATGAATTAAAATTACTATTAGATTAATTATAATCAAATAAATTTATTTATTATTTCATTATTAATTAATAAAAAATAAATATAATTTCTCTATTCATTCAATAAATTTATAAGTAATTATTAATAATATAATTAATAACTAATTAATTATTTTTATAGATGTTAAACTCCTATTTAATAATTAATTAAATGAAAATTTTTAATAATTAATTAGTTTATTAAATATATAATTATTAGTTAACATATTTTGAATTAAAATCTTAATTGAATTTTAGAAGCAAGTTTCTATTTCGAAATGTTTTAAGAAGTTTAGTTTACATATTTACTAAACCTTATTATATTTTGTTGTTAAAGTCTAACAATCATAACTAATTTTTAAATCTTGATAGAAATTGTTGAACAGGTTCACAGGATCTAACAAGATTTAATAAATTCATGTCAAACAGTTTTCGGGATTTAACCCTTTCAGTATTTACTAAATCTTACTAACTTAAATATCATATGTTGTCATACAACACCTAAATACTAAGCAACAGTGAAGATGTATTTTCATAAGTTATGGGAAGATCTAGATACATACCACAACTTCTAAGTGTAAAAAAGTAAAGTTTATATATTAGATATGTAAATACATGGAAATCGGGTGTTCTAGTGATATGTATTATAAATAGAAGCGACGTGATCCAAATGACTTTTAACCCTTAGGTTTTTCTTTTTTTTTTCTTTCATCTTATTATGTTTTCTCTATGTTGGCTATTTGGAATATGAGAGGGTTTAATAGGGAAACCCGTTTAGTGGATTGCAAAGGTTTTTTTAAAGAGTTTAATTTCGATCTTTTATTTCTTTTAGAAACTAAACTCAATACTTCTTTTATATCCTCTTTTTTTTTCCAACTCTCAATATTTTTTTTCTAATGAAGGTTATGTAAATAAAATTTATCTTGTTGAAAATGGGTGAATTTTGATTACATAGAATAAACATTAGCTGGATTTAAAGTTATTGACATGGGTGCTTAATTTATTCATGGTTTTGTTTATGTTTTTTTACGTGCATTAACTTTTGTAAGATGACTATTTATGATGACAATAGTACGCATATTAGAAAAATTTTATGGGTCAATATTGTCGATACTATGACCCCTCTCCGGATCATTATTGATGCTTTTAATTGTATTCTCATAATTGACGAAAAAGCTGAGGTTGTTTCTCTCTTGCCTAGTAAATTTTATGATTTCAATAGTTGCATTTTTAATTCCTTTCTTATTGAGTTACATAATTTTAGTTTTTTCTTTTTGTTGGATCAATAATCAATTGAATAATCATAACAGATGTCTTCTTGGCATAGCTTTTTTTAATGCTCAATGGATTGATTCATTTCCTAATTTTTATTATAAAGTCTTAAATGACTACTCTTCTGACCATCACCCTATTCTTGTTTCTTTGGGCAATTCTTATAATATGCATTGTAGATTTCTATACAAGAATTATTGGAGATTGTATCGTGATTTTTGTAATTTCGTTAATACTACTTGACAACCCCTTATGAAAGGGGGTCATATTTTCTTTCTTTGCAATAAGCTCTCTAATGTTAAAGTTATTTAAAGTTTGGTATTGGAATTCTTCTAATATTTTATCTAATTACATTACTGATCTTAAAGATAAATAGAAGAAAATTATACTTAAGCTGAAAAGTCATCCTCTTTTTAATGATCTTTTGGAACAAGCTACTTTACTTTAAAAGAATATCTCTAATGCCACTTTTTTGTGATTATAATTGGGTTAAACAAAGAGCTAAATGCTCTTAGTTGTCCAAGGGAAAGGATGATGTTAAATCTATTTATCAAAAAGCTATAATTCAACATAATTCTAACTTTATCAGGGAACTTTTAGTTGATGGTAATTACATTCTTAATCATGAGGATAATGTTAGTGAAACCTTTTTTATTCTAATTTATTAAATGATAGTGTTAATAATGATTATCTTTTAGGTGATGTTTTTCCTAATAATCATCATGTCTCTGTTACTGTTTTTTTTTTTATTAACTCAACGTTTTACTGGTGATGATATTAAAAAGTCTTTCATTTTTGTTGGTTATAATAAAGCGCCTGGCTTGAACAGGTTTTCTTAAAAAATTTATAAAGATGCCAGAGATATGTTTTAGTTTCAATTGCATTTTGTTATTGTGCTTTAACCTAAAAGAATTAATGCTAAATCTTTTTCTAATTATCGTCATATTTATTTATATAATACTTTTTACAAAATTGTTTATATTCTATTCACTGCTGAACTTAATCTTATTCTTCAAAAAATCATCTATCCTGCTCAAGCTGCTTTTATTAGTGATTGTGATATCACCGACAATATTGTTTTAGCTAATGAACTTTTTTTTTCGCTTTAATTCTCGCAACAACACAAAATAATTTTATTTTAAAATTGATATTCATAAGATTTTTGACATAGTTAATAGAGTTTTTTTTCGGTATAAAAGATGCCTTCATATTGGTATCCCTGGTATTTCATTAATTGGATTGTTGCTTGTACTTCTTAGGTTAATTTTTTTATCATTATTATTATTAGTGATTTAAAGACTATTTTTCTTCTTCGTCTAGCTCAAGACAAGGTTGCCATTTATCCCCTTATCTTTTTAATATTAATTGGACTCTCTCTCTGTTATTTTTTATAATCAATTAGCTAGAAATAGTATATTGATTTTATCAACCATTTGATTAATGTTGATAATATTCATATTTTTAGTAAGGCTTAATTTTATTTCCAATGTTTTTGCTAATTTTTCTAAACATTTTGATCTTTGTATTAATTTTGCTAAATCTTCCATTGTTTTTTTCTAAAAGTGTGAATGATAATCTTTAATCTTCAACGTTACTTTGCAATTTATGTGGTTTTTCTATAAAAAATTAGTCTTGGATTTATCTTGATGTCATTATTAAATCTTTTATGTTGGTTATTTCTTGATTATCAGAATCTTATTGATAAAATTAAATATTTGTTTGTTGGTTGTAAGGGAAAATTCATTTCTGCTGATGGTAAATTTTAACTTATCTATACAGAGTTACTCTATTATTGATTTCGTTATTCTTTACTACCTAAAGATTTGAGGAAGAAAATTTCTTCTTTGATCTCCAAAATTTTCTTTAATTCTGATGATACGAAGAAGCTACATATTATTTCTTCAAATAAAATTACTATACCTAAGCAGTTTGGTGGATTGGGTCTGCCGGTTCTAGATTCTATCATTTTTCTTTAATTCTGATGATACGAAGAAGCTACATAATATTTATTTGAATAAAATTACTATACCTAAGCAGTTAGGTGGATTGGGTCTGTCGGTTCTAGATTCTATCAATATTACGTGCAAAATTAATACTATTTGGAAATGTTATAATTCTTAATATTTTTTTGAGAGATTGATTGTTTAATCATTATGTTTCTTTTTGGCATAAGGTCAAATATGTGTGTTCCTTTTTTTTTTTGTTGGAATGGCTTTGTGAGAATGGCTATCAAATTCAAGTATGCACTAACTTTTCATGTTACTAGTGATTAACATTTGTCTTTTTATTTCGATCCTTGGTTTGAAGGAGCTTCTCTTGTGGAGAAATTTGGTGATTCTATATATAACAGATTTAATTTTCCTCATAAATATTAGCATAAAGATATTGTTTTTAATAATTGTTGGAATTTTTACTAATAAATCAAGCTCCTAGCTATTATATTCATGCTATTTGTAAGATTTCTATTTTCAATGGCCTTACATGTTCTTGGAATAATGGTTCCATTTACTTTCATAAAATGTTAATCTTTCTCTTTTACCTCTTCTCCTTGTGTTAATTGTTTAAGATGGTTTGATATAAGTTGGTTAAGATTGTTTAAATGTTATAATTTAAAATATGCACTTCATATTTAGAAAGTTTTTATTCGATATCTCAAAACTTGTGATATTTTCTTCTTTAAGAGGCATGAATGTAAATTTGACATGTGTTCTATGTATGAACAATAGAGAAATTCATTATTATTTCTTTTTTTAATGTTCTTATTCTCATCTGTTTCTTAAAGATTGTTTACACTGATAATTTTTTATAGTTCCTAGTAATATTTTTCAAGTTATGCATCATTATAGTTTTTCCTACGACATATTTAAGCGTTTTTATCTTTTAGATTTACAAGTGGTTATTTATGTGATTTGGTATGATAGAAAATCCAGGATTTTTAGGAATCGTCATTCTTTACTGATTCTAATATCTGTTATATTTTGTTTTTGATTAATTTAAAAAATCGTCAACTTGTCTATTTATATATCTTCGTATTGTTTTCTTATTCGAATAAATCTCCCTTGGATCATATAGATGATTCGATGAGGAGATCAATCGATCGAGCCGATGGCGCCCTATTGGTCGAACAGATTCAAGGGTTGATTGAGTTGATCGGGCCGGTGACGTCGGATCGATCAAGTCGACGGAGATGGTGGGTCGATCCGTTCGAGCTGGTAGCGATTGATCAGTTGAACAGACAGAAAGTTTGTTAATCAAATCGTGTGAGAAGGGAGGCGAGTCATGCGATTTGATCGACGACACATGCAAAAAATTCTAACTTTGATGCAATTTTAAAAATCGTCCCAAACACACAATATGAGTGTGAATTCATGCAATATAGAAAATCTGACCATGCTAAAAAATGAACCGAACTCGTCTTAGCAGCCTCAAGGGCTGCTATGGTAGGATGACAATGAGGTGTACCAACAACTCTTTGCATGGGCGACAGGCGACCCACCTCCATTTGGTTGACACAAAAGATTTCATGGGAGAAAGCTTTTGCGGTTTAGGGAATGTCAAGATCGTGAGATATTTCATTCTCTAGACTCAAGGAGCAGATTTTGTTCTTCCCATCACGAGTATGAAACCATTGACTCAAATGCGAGATCACTACAATCACGACTTTCATATTTTGGACTAAAATTGGGTAGGATTTGCTCATTGGATTCATAACGGAGTCACAAAGCACCTAACCTATGGGCTTTTCTCTATCACAAAACCCTGTATTCTTAAGTCTTTATCACCCAAACCTAGAGGGTCACTAGCAATGAAATTGCAAAGGTTCAAGAGTTCTCACCGTCGCGAAGTTTAATGATGTGTTTTCTTTGCTTGCTCCTTACTCCTACCTAGTTAGGATGAAGTTCTCCTCTTGCTTTAGGAGAGTTGTTGCCACTTTCCTTCTTCCAAGTGGGATGAAGCTCTCCTTTTCATTTGAAGATGTTATGTTCTTCCTCCAAGAAGCTTCTCCAAGGTCTCCCTCGTGCTTCTTAAACAAATTGGTGGACGAAGAAAAAGAAAAATGGGGAAGATGGAGGGAAGAAGATGAAGTTGAGAAAGAAAACTCCTCTAAGCTCTCTACCAAGGATTTTTTTCAGAAATTTCCTTCACCAAGCTTCTCCTCTTTGAAAATGGCTTCAAAACCCCATGGAAGCTCCTCTTCCAAAGATGAGAGATGAGGAAGTAGATGAGGAAGACTTAACAAGAGCTTCTCCCTAGCCAAAAATCCAAAGCCCTCTTCAAGCCTCTTCCTTGGCTGAAAATCCAAAGCCTCCTCTTCAGGAAATCAGTGGAGGAAGCAGGAAAAACTCGAGGGGGGCAGGAGGAAAATGGAGAAAGAAGAAGAAGAGAAGAAACCCTCTCTTCTTTAAATCCTGGCCTCCAAAATCTCCCAAAATATGCTCTCCTCTTGCCTATTTTCAGTTTCCCGTCTTTTTTTGTGTGGCTCAAGGCTCATTTTTCCCAAAAATACAACCTCAAGAGCCCATAAAAATTGAGGTTTGAAAGCAAAATGACATCTAGGCACCGCGTCCCTAGTGCCTAGGAGCCACCCTCCGGGTGTCTACTTTCCGCGCTCTTGTTTTCAGAATCTTCTGGAGTTGTTTTTGGAGCTCAAGAGCCTGGACTGATGCCTAGGAGCCTAGGAGCCTAGGAGCCCGGAATAGTGCCTAGGCTTCTAGTTTTAAAAATATCTAGTGAATACAATTACAATTTTTGTGATTGTTCCTTAGTGAAATACTCAAAAAAAATTACAAACAAATCATTTCCTAAGCATACTTGAGCCAACATTCCACTCATTTCATATGTATTTAATTATCACACCTAAACTTCAATTCTCACATACATATCACCTCACTTATACATAAAGGTATGCTTTTTATTTTCTTAAGTTAAAATTGAGGTATTTTTGATGTGAAAGGTAATATTTCATTGATATAAATGCAAAAAGACAAATCTAGATGTTAGATATGTAAATATTCATAGGAATTTAGCGGTATACATGTAAATTCCACACATAAAATCAGTAAATGACGACAATATAGCTAAATCATACATCTTTAGCTCACAAGCTAAATAATCAATCTAACCTCCCTACCCACTATTATTACAAAGAGAAAGTCATTCGGACGTGCGGTCACACAACTATTTTATTATTACAAGATGGACAATAAACTAACCCATTTTCATTACACAAACCACACCTCACCTTCTTCTTCTTCCCCTCATCCAAAACCCTACAGCTCCCATTGCATTCCTTACACATCACAAACCTCATCCCCCCACACTCTCCACACCTCATCTCCCCCTTAGGCATCCCCTCCATCAAAAATTCCATTTTTCCATCTTCTTCAAGCCTCAAAACTTCCTCCGCTCCACCCACCATTCTCCCCTTCACAAACAAAACCGGCATTTTTAACTCTCTGCTCCCTCCCATCAAGCTTCTCAGCTCCTCCCGAAACCCTAAATCCATAGAAACATCCCTTTCGATAACACAAACGTTATAAGACGCGATCAAAGAACGAACCAAATTACAGTCTTCGTATGTCTTTCTAATCCCTCTCAAACTGGTCGTGTAGAGCACCACCGCCTTCTCTCCTCCCGGAGGGCACTTTTCTTCAAGAGAGAGAAGAAGACCTGCGGTTTCATCTTCTTCCTTCCTTCTTCCTCCGGCGACCATTCGCTTGATCTGTTCAACCTCGGAATTGAGCTCCCGCTCGAAGGAGGCCACGAGATCTGGATCGAACAGGGGAGATAAGCTTCTCTTTGAGCCGGATTTCTTCTTTTCTGAGAGATTCAGAGGTTTTAGAACTCGGCTGGGGTCGGTGCGAAGGCGGGGAGTTTTGTTCTCTTTTCCGGAGAACTTTTTGTGTTTCTCCGGAGATGGGGTGTGGAAAAACGGCGGCGATTTTGACCTTTTGTGAATTCCGGCGTCTTCTTGATCGTCTGCGAGGATCCAGTTGATGATCTCCGGAGAGGAGTCGGAGAAAGATTGGGGCTTTTTGAGCTTTGGGATGGTGTTGGGAATGGAGCTTTTGGGAGATTGAAACCGGGTCTGGTTTTCGAAGGGATCGAGGTTGAGGACGCCATAGGTGGAGGAGGTGAGAGAGACGCAGTGGTTGGGGAGATCGCCGGCGTTTTTGGCGATGGTAATGGAGTATTTGTCACCGGAAAAGATATGGGGATCGCCGGCGGGGAGTAATTTGCAGGAGATGCAGCCCATTCTCTTCTCCGCTCTGAGTGGGACGGGTTGGGGGTTTCTTTTTGTTTTTGAAATCTAACGGTCGAGTAGCAGGGCACGCAGCGACGAGAGATATGTTGGAAGAGGGATTTGGGTCTAACGGTCGAAAACTAAAAAGCATTAATGGTGGTTGGTAAGATTACCGCTGATTTAGATTGTACGGGTGGGATGTTGGTGTCAGCAGTATATTTATTCATGGAAAAATCGGTTTAAAATATTATAATCGGAATTTTAATTATTATTCTTTTTAATTTAGTAGATTCTGCTATACCTTTATGTTGATTGGTTAGTTTTTTGTGTGTGTTAGGTTCTGTTTGGGACAGCTTGTGCGCTTCAGGATAAGCTGTTTATCCTGAAATGTGGCCCGCGGGGGTCGATTCGCGGTCTACATTTAGTGTAAAACTCAAACGCAGTTTCAGATAAGCTGGCAAAACGCGCGAACCAAACGGTACGGTGGCGCTTTAAAAATGCTGCCCGCACTTATAAGCTGCCCCAAACTGGTCCTTATTTTAGTTGATCACCGTTTGGTGTTTTTTGTTTTAGTTGTTCTATATTAATAGAGAAAATATTTCATCTGGATACCACTCATTCGGACGATCAATTATTGATGACAACATCAACATATGCGTCATCAGCGGGGCTAAGATTTTACGTGAAAAACCCGTAAAGTGAAAAACACAGGATCTGGCCCAGTTGTGAAAATTCACTATTGATTTCCCATTTACGGCTTTTTCACGTAAAATCTTAGTACAACTTTATATCATGTAAAATCAAGCATGAATTAATTATATTCCTAATTAAGATTTCACAACTAGCTCAGACCCCATAATTTTTCCTTGACCAGAGTTGCTCTATATTAATTAAAAAGATCAATGAGTGATTAATTTCTAAATATAAATATTTCCAATGGTTTGGAAGTAATTATTCCTAAGAAGTTTTTTATATTAATATAGTATAATTATTAAGAGAAATTGCTTAAAGAATTCATTCATTTATTCTTTAAATAGTACCTTAAGTACATACTAGATAGGCCTTATATTTTTACATATATAACACTCATAATTTTCATATTTTTATAATCACTACACACTTAAGTTTATAAGGCAGGAAGATAATGTACAAGTAAATATTAAAAAATTAAGTGTTTGAGTTGTAAATATTAAAGAATATTGGGGTATATATGTAAATGTCCCCAAAAAAATTAGGTGACATATTATGAACGCTACGTAATTTGCATGAGGCTTTATTTTTATGTTAGACATAAATAAATAAAATTTGCATGAAATTTTTATTTATCTTTCACCGTTTACTGAGCCAATATTTACAGGGCAAGAAAAATAATGCTTCACATGATTTTGATTTGTATGGGTTATTTGTTTTCAATTATTTTTGATATAAAGTAGATGCAAAAGATGTGATTGCAGATGACGAGTCATCGAGAGCTCGGATTTAGCAAAATTATAGTTAAGTTGATCAGCTCAATGAGACAAATCCTATGATACTAAAATTGGTCTAATCCAAGTCAAATTAAGCTCTGATCAAGTCAGTAAATCACTCTTAAAAGATTTCGGAGCATATTTGGAAGGACAAACAAATGTCGAATCCGATAAGCTTATAGTCGAATCGAGCGTCACTGTGGAACAAATCCAACGAGCCCAATATCACTCAATTCCAACATCACTAAGGCTCTAAAAAATCGATCAAATATTGTTTGATCGAGGGGAGTTCAACGAACTATAAGATCAAAGTAGTTCATATTCATACATTAATTGTGCTCGAAACTCAATAAATAGAGCTCCTCCAATCTCTACAGAGGGGGAGGGGTCGTCCGGTGAGCTTGAGGAAGAACTTGAAGCTTTGAGAATGAGTATAAGTCCAATACCACTTCTGCCGTCGTTAACCACCGCCGACCGTGTCAAACTTACATAGAAATTTTAATTATGAGTCATCTAGAGCTTCAATTTTAGCAAACTTATTGTCAAACTGATTGACTCGACGAGATAAACCTAATGATACTAAAATTGATCGAATTAAAGCCACATTAAAACCCAATCAAGCCATTAAACAACTTTTGGAAGCTTTCCAGGCATATTATGAAGGCCAAACAATTGTCAAATTTAATGAACTTATATGCAAATCGAGCATCTCGACAAGACAATCCAGCGAGTCCATGATCGCTCAATTCTGATATCATTAAGACACTCAAATGTCCATCAAACGTCATTTGATTGAGTGAAGTTCTCAAGGTTGTCTGATCAAAATGACTCATATTCATGCATTAATTGCAGCAATAACTCTATAAATAGAGCATCACCTCTCTCATGAGAGGGGGGAGGGGGGAGAGCTTGGAGCCTGAAAAAGAAGTTGAAGATTTGAGAAGAAGCTAAAGCCCAACATCGTCCATGCCGTTGTCGACCTCCACTTGCCTGCGTCGTCGATCGCTATCATCCGTCCCCGTTTCTTATGCATCAACTTTGTAGCTCGGAAGATTACGCAACACTTTCTCACATTTAGAACAATGAATCATACTCGTGATCTCCACTTTATAGTGAATCTCTTCAATTAAGTTAAACCCCATGATTTTTTTATTTTTAAAGGGTTTTCCACATAAAAACTTCTTTTATCTCTATTATTTTTTTTCATCAGAGAGCATGCTCGATTCTCGTGCAACGCTAAAACAATAATCCATTAATCTACCGACACAAATATTATAGCACGCATGAATAATCACAAATAAAATTAAATATAACAAGTCAACGATCAATTTTAAGCTAGAAGATATCTGAATAACTCAATTTGAGCCAGTTCATTTCAATTTGGAGCAGAATAACATCTCATCTTTATTTACTTATTTTTTTAATAAATGAAATTAATAAATGAAATGAGAGTCTTTTCCCCTCCAAGGTGTGAAATCGCTAACCTACCACCCCATGTCTCCATCTTTCTCATTTTTTTATCTTGATTCTCATGAAATTATTCCACATAAATCTTGCCAAGAATTCAACAGTCTCCGGGGAATATTTGAAAAAACAAATTGGACAGCAATTATCATAATTTTAATTTTACTATTATAAAGTTTTTAATAATTAAAATTTTATTATAAATAAATTAATAAAATACCATTATTATTATTATTATTATTATTTTATCCTTCAAAAGGATTCATGTCATGTTTTTTTTCGACAAGTTATACGCTGGCTGCCGACCACCTAACGCAACCCTCCACTTTTCACATCCGGGCTAAGGACCGGCAACAGCAGTGTTAATATTAGATGGTTTGCTCACCATCTGATGATCTGATTAGGAAAGTAGATGTTTTCGATTTGACTTGTGTTAAGAAAGACAGAGGTAGACCTAGGAAGACTTGCGCTTATTGTATTAAAAAATGATCTTAATTTACTAGAACTAAATGAAAATATGACAAGGGTTTAAAAAAAACTTTAAGAAGCAAAATTGTATACCGTAATCGTGAATTATTACAATTTACACCCATTTTTTTATGTATTTACATATCTAACACCTAAACCTTACTTCCTTATGTTAATGTTATTTAAATTGTCCGCATTTATTTTTAGAAAGTGGGATGCATCATTTTCATGCATGCATAAGGTGAAATTCTTGTCAAAAATAAAATGTAAGGGTTAGATGTATAAATACTAAAAAATTATGTGGCATTGATGTAAATGCCCCATAGATATTAGTAGTTAGTTGCTTAATATGTTTTTAATGTAAGTGGAATTAATTATATTTTAGTTTTAACATTTAACCAAAATTTTAAAAAATTTCTCGCTTTGTAAAATCATAAAGGATGTCAATATTAAATCGTAGTTTGTTCATATTAAACCCAAGTTTATCTGTAGATCGCAAAAAAATATTACGTCCGGAGTTCGGACGCAACAACGGTTACGATTCAACGGAGGTCATGTTTTCGCTCCTCGGTTCCTTTCGATGGCTCACACCAGTTGTCCGAATGCAGCATACTGCTTACACCCAGACTCGAGACGTAAAATTTTTTTCAGATCATACTCAAAAAATAAAATACACAAATGAGAGAATGAACCAATCATAAGAAAACATATATTATCTTTTCCAGACAAAAAGGTTCCGTACATTTTACTATAATATTTATAGAAAAAAATAATTATGTTGTGAAATATCAATAAATTCTTTGGAATCTTATATTACCAGACGGTCGTAGCAACAATCATGATTTTCATTATTATGACAGAATCAATTGTCATCAAATTATTATTTCGCTTGCCTCTAACTTAGTATGACTTTCATCATCTTATTTAGTCGTCCGCCTTCTCAGTTCTATTGTCAGGATAACTCGCTTCATGCCAATTGGCACTACATTTTATGCTTGTCGGGGTTAATTCTTCAACACGTGTCTCGTCCAATATCATGAGATCCGGTTCAATAGACTTTGTTCATAGAATTTATAAGATATAATTTTGTAAAATCATTATGAACCGTGCATATGATATTCTCGGCACCAAACAAAAGAGTGAAATTGCATTTGGATACAAATATAATTAAGTAAAAGTTGTGGGACCAATGTGATAAATGAAAAAGAAATGAAGAAAATATGTTGAAGGCTGTAGAGTGACTTGCGTGTGCCGAGGGGAACGCAAACCGGGCGATTCTCCGGTCGGTCCTCTTCACTTTCCATAAGAGAAAATTTCGGTCACATTTTTGTTTTTTTCAAAAGAAGAAAATTGAGAAAATTTGACTTTTACTATTTATATTGAAGACAAAACTTTATAAATCAATGCCTTATAAATTTTAATTAAATAAAATGATTAATGTATAGCTATAAATCAAATGATAAAATATACATATATTGGGAGGAAGCACAAGATAGCAATCGAGACAACTTTTGCTGAACAAGACCATTTATAATCAATGATGCGTGTTAGGAAATTCGCGACAGTAGATTAATGAATTATCATATTTGCAATGCACTTGATTTTAACACACACTCAAATGAAGGAAAACAACCAGTAGTGACGACATAAGTTTTTATGTGAAGACTCCGTAAAGAGAAAAAAAACAATGAGGCTGACCCAATTGTAAAAATCTACTAAAAGTTGATGATTAAAATGATCGTTTGTCCCACATGTGAGAAATGAGTACAAAGTAATCTGAATTACAACGTCGATGTGCGAATAAACTTATTGAAAGGAATGGGCGGAAGGCAGCAGGCGGTAGTCAATGGTGGTCGGCGATGATCGATGACAACAGAAATGATGTTAGACATTAGTTTCTTCTCAAAACTTCATGTTCTTTCTCAAGTCTCAAGCTCCCTTATGATTTCTAAATTTAAATGTTTCTTGCTCGAAAGATTACCTCGAGATTCGTGTCTTGTCTCGATATTTGTGTCAAATGATAAAATTTTATTTGCGGCGTATAAATCATCATTTTTTCAATAAATTAAAGTTTATACAAATATAGCTAAAATATGATTAAAATTCATTAGAAAATAATATGTTATTAATAATTATAAGACTGAAGATATTTACTGTTATTTAAAAAAATGAAATAATACATCAATATATTCTTGATTTTTAAATAAAAAATAATCCCATCAAACCATGACGAACTTCTACAATTGTCTACACCAAAGAAAGAAGGAACATTTACATAAATATCAATAGGGCTGGGAATTTAGCTCGAAAATTGTTATTCGTCCGAAAATTTATTCGAATTTTACCTTTGATTGAGATTTGATCGAAATAAAAGATCCGAACTATACGCCAAAAGGTTGAATTTTTTTTTTTTTTCGAGTCGATTTTGAGCTATACATGAATCGGCCCGAATTAGCTTGAGATTGTCTCAAACTATTTTTTTAATTTATAAAAAATTATATATAATGCTACAATAAAATCAAATATAACGAGCTACGAACCAATTTTGAGTGGGAACTAATCAAAATAACTAAATTTGAGCCATCTTGTTTCAATCACAAGTCATATCGAGCCGATTTCAATTTGGAAAGGATCCAAATAACTCAAAATTGAGCCAGCTCATTTCGATTTCGAGCTAGATCAAGTCAATTCAATTTCGAGCAGAGCTGGCTAGAAATCAAGTATAATGGGCCACCAACCAATTTCGTTACGAACTCAATCAATTCCAGCTCCAACTCTGCTCATCAACAGTTTTACATACAGAAAATATATTCCATCCGGACGTCCGCACGACCAACCAGCGACCGCCACGTCGCCCTCCAACGAGGCGCATGACGACGGAGGACCCAATGATTGGCCTTCCGGAAATATTTTCTCCTATATAAGACCCACAATTTCTACATATAGGGATGCTCAATGCTAGGTATAACACATATACCAGATAAGAGGCAGATGCTGCAGCGAAACGGAGCGAGCTAACTAAACGAACGAGCATAGAGGAGCTTGCAAGCGAGCTAAACGAACGAGCATAGTGGAGCTTTCGAGTTGAGCGGCAATTTTGTACCTAGATAATTTTGTAATTATATATTGTACAAGAGGGTTATATATATATATATGTTGTATTATAATCCTAAATGAATTTTTTTTACTCTTTTTGTGACATCAAAGATAACTGCCACTCAACTTCCAAGAACGTAGGCAAATTATCGAACCTCATTAAATCTTTGTGTTTTCTTCCTGATTGCTCGGTTCTTACATTTCTTTACCCTAAAATTCTCAACACACACAAACTTTAATATTTATTTTTATACCACCCAAATCCTTAAGTGGTATTTATGTAAATCTTCCAAAAAAATAAGCAATCACCCAACCCCAAATTTCTATTTCTGCGGCTCTTCTTTTCGTCAGCATGACCTTAGCTATTATTCCGTCCATTAAATAAATAGTTTTCCTTTTTTTTTGTTTATCTATAATAGGATAGATTTATAAATATAATCTTATAATTATACAGTGATTAAATATTATTTATTATAATTAATATGCAACAAAACCCTCGTAATTATATATAAATACAGTAAGGCTCTTTGCATTATAACATGATTACTACTAACTCCGTTTGTTCTACGTCAACTCCGCGGCAACATGCGCTCCCTATCCAAGGGCTCTAACGAAACCACGTGTCCACCATCTGATACATCCACGTCATCCAACCATCTCCTCCGTGCAGTGAATCTCTTCATACCCTGCAACTCCGGCGCCGTCGAATCAATCGTCTTCCTCTCCTCCTCGCTGGAAAACTTCGAAGAACGACTAACGCAATCCTCTAACTCACCGGAAGCCGCCGGATAAACACCGGCGAACCCCAAAATTGCCGCTAAGTTCGCCCAGCACCCCACCCCTTTCACCACCTCGGCTTCATCAGCCACAACAGAACCCCGTTCGCCGATCTTCTTCTCCCTCTCCGAGTCCGATAGCACACTACCGAAGCAAGAAACCTTCGGCGAACCCGGATCAAGAACCGCTGGCTTCCTTTCTAAAGAAAAGTTTAACGGGAAGATCCGGTAAGTAGGTATGGGGCGAGATCCGTTGCCGTGGAAGGCGGAGTTGGGGAGGCCGGGGATCGGACCATTGGGAGGCTTGATGGAACCGCCGGGGTTCGGTCTGATCGGTAAGTGAGATTTAGGCTTGGAGCAACTCCGGATTGATTTAGGATTTGCGCTTCCGATGGTGGATTGACCGCGATCTAGAACTCTGGTTAGTTGAACCCAGCGGAGATCGCCGTGGATCGGAAGCCGGAAGGATTCCGGCGGGAGATCGGGATCTTCGATCATCGGATGGGAGGAGGAGATGAACTTTGATTCGCTGGGGGTTTTGGCTTCGCCTCTGCAACAGAACAGGGTTTCTAGGGGGTCGGAGGGCATTGAGAAAGGAGCGAGGAGGAGAAGTGAAGTGGAGGTGAGGGAAGAAATGGCTTTATAGCGAATTTAGCGGTTATTTTGAAATATTTTTAAATAATTTTTTGAAAGTAATAAATTGGAGTTATTATATTTTAAAATCATAATTTTTAAATATTATATTTTAAATATTGAAAAAATTGATTAAAATACTATATTAAATATTTTAAATAATTGGTATGAATAAATTTAAATATGTAGCTAACAATTCTCATATATTTATAAATTTAATATATATAATTAAGATTTATATTTATAACACTATGTTGTTATCACTTTATTTATAAAAATATATTTTATATTTAAAAAATTAATATAAAAATATTTTTAATCTTATATTGAAAATATAAAGTATTTTGCATGTAAATATTAACATTTTGATTGTGAAATAAAATTTATCATAAATATAGTGAGTATTATGCATAAAAAATTATTTTTTATGGATAATTACATGCAGTCGCTCGAAAACATTGATATTTACACTATCAAAACAATATAATTAGACGTGCTAGTATCAACTATAGAGATTTGATAAAAATAAAAAATATGAATTGAGAATCTCATTCATCTCGTTTGCTTATCGAACGAATCAAACACGAACTACCCGACGAGCCGAACACGAACTGTTCGCGAACAACGAGCTTTTTTTGACAATCATAATTGAGATTCTATTATAAATTTTTTTATTTGAGCGAGAATTTTAAAAATAGATGAATGCATACATTATATTATATGCAATATATTTCATATTTCATATTATTTTAATTTATAAAATTTAACCAAAATTGTGATCAAAATACCCTTATTTCTCTTATGGAGTTCTGTCAATCCTTAAAAATTACCAGAGTAACCTTTCATTTTCATGATGATATCACACTAGAGAATCTCTAAGACTTTTCAAAAAAGTTTTAAGACTTTTCAAACAAGCTTTTAGACTTTTCAAAGTGGGACTTGTATTTTAAAAATTATTTAAATATTATTAATTTATAATAATAACAATAATAATGAGAAATGAGGAATGTTGATGAGATGATCTTTATAAAATAGGAGCATTTACATTCAAAATATTTTATTTTTTAACATCACTACTAAAAGCTTTTACAAATGAAATAGAATTTTTAGTGGGTAAATTTATGACATCAAAATTATGAATATAAATATTAAAATTTAATTGTTAAATATATAAGGGGCTTTTAAATATAGAGATCCTAAATAATAGTTATTACATTTAAAGGCCCAAAAAAAAAAAAATTAGAGGTGAAGGTCTTCTGTTACAGCAGCGGATGGCGTTGCTTCTTGGCGAGGTAGGAGCCTGAAACCCTCGCCTACATCCTCCCTCGCCCCTTCCGATTTGGCCCAAATCTCCCTTCTCCGCCTATTACGATACAATCGTGATTAGAGAGCTGGGAAGTGAACGAAGGGATAGCGACTTACAAAAACCACAAAACAGGATCACCACATACAGAGACCAGCGAATCTCCCATCTTTCTCATCATTCCACTTGGCTCCTACCAAAAATCATTGGGGAAGGTAAGCTTGTTCACGTCATTTCTTCCTCTTCGCTCGTAGGAGGTAGGTGGTCGCAACTTACAGAAACCACTGAAATTCCCATCTTTCTCATACTCTTGCTTGGCTACTGCCAAAAATTAGTGTGGAAGGTGAGCTTGTTCGCGCCATTCTTTCTCTTAGCTCGTAGGATGTAGGAGAGGGCTTCGAGCTCATACCACGCCAGAAAGCAACGCCATCCAATATTGTAACAGGAGACATTCACCAATTATTTTAATATTTTGAGGCCTTTAAATCGAATAACTATTTTTTAAGTACATGTATATGTAAAAGCTACAAAACATAAATATAAAAGTGATACAACTCCAACATTCCAGGAGAATCTCAAGACATAACATGAATCTCGAGCAACCTTTTGAACAAGAATAATTCAAACATCAATAAAAATTTATTCAGAGCTTCGATTCCAACAAACTTATAGTCAAACAGATCGTCTTGACTAGACAGACTCAATGATACTAACATTGATCTAGTCTAAACCAAATCAAGCCCTAATCAAATAATTAAATCATATTTGAATGTTTTCTAGATGCATTTGGAAGATTAAACAGATGTCAGACCCAAAAGGTTCATAGTCGAATCAAGCATTTTGGTGTAACTAATCTAATGGTCGCTCAATTTCAACATTGTTAACACACTCAAATGTCCATCAAACGACATTTGATCGAGGAAAGCTCTCTTAGTCGTCTGCTCAAAGTGATTCGTATTTTTGCATTAATTGTGTCAAGAACTCTACAAATAGATTTACATCCCTCTCATGAGGAGGAAAGAGAGCTTGAGGCTTGAGAAGGAAATTGAAGCTGCCAGTAGAAACAGAAGTACAACACCACTCCTGTTGTAGTTAACCACCGCTGATTGTCGTCGACCACCGCCGACCGCCGTCAAGCATTCTTGCCATCGTCGAACACCGCTGACCACCGTCAACCACCACCAATCTCTGTCAACTACCGTAGACCAACATTGACCGGACGTCGTCAATCGCTATCAATTGTTGTCAATCATCATTGTAATTTGGAAAACCTAGTAACATTTTCTCGTCTTAGATAAGTGGCTGCAATTGTAATCATCTTTTTAAAATGAAACTCTTCAGCTAGGTCAGACTTCATGGTTTTTTCCTTTCTTAGTTTTCAATGTAAAAACTTCTGATATCATATTAGTTGTTTTCTATTTTCTGAATGTGTGTTGAATCTTCGTACAACGCTAAGACGATAATCAACTACTCTATTATTGTGAATTTTCTAGCACGCATAAAAAAGTATGGTAATATTTATATAATTTTTTTACAAGTAAAATTATACTTCATAAACTCTAATATTTAGAAATTGATAAAGCTTATCAAAATAATTAGTATCTTGGAAAATTATAATATTACTCCTCCCGAAATTGAACCTCATAAGTTTTGAACATCTTGAGCATTTTGTAATATTTATTTAGGGTTTATAACATAGAATCTCAATAGTTTTAAATTTTTTTTCTCATATTTATTCAGATATTATCACGATTATTTTCTTATTTATAACATAGAATCTCAATAGTTTTAAATTTTTTTCTCATATTTATTCAAATATTATCACGATTATTTTCTTATTAATAGGGCTGTCAAAATGGCTCGTTGTTCGCGAACAACTTGTGTTCGGCTTGTCAAGAAACTTGTATTTGTTAAGTTAACTCGTTGTTCGCGAACAACTTGTGTTCGGCTTGTCAAAAAGCTCGTGTTTGACTCGTTCGTTAAGTTAATAAGCCGAACACGAACCAAGATTTGTTCGTTCGTGTTTGATTCGTTTTAGCTCGAATCTTTGTTCAATTTGTTCGTTCGTGTTCGGTTCGTTTTAGCTCGAATCTTTGTTCGTGTTTGGCTCGTTTTGACTCGAAATACTACTCATCAACATCCATCAATTCATCTTTAAAGTAAATTATCCTTCTTGAATGAGCCAATTTCTTAGATTAAGAGGCGAATTGGGTCCCTTCACACTTGACGAGCAGACGAGTGACCTCAACCAAATTTCAATCTCGTGCACTAATCACCATAGACAAACTATCAAGCATAAATCACTAATTGAGTTAGTTGAAGTAGCATGGTCTAGTCGGCCTGGCTAATTGCCCTGCATTTCATCCTGAATTCGTGCTTGCGAGCTAGTTAGTGCCTAGCTGAGAAAACTCAACAACTTGCCTGAAGTATATATATTCAATTCGGCTCGACAAACTATGATTTATAATCCTGGGCTGGATCAGCTGGCATTTGACCACACAACTTGCACCGAACCAAACAACTCAAAAATATTTCAAATGCACTATACGTTAATTACATCAAATTTGTTTTACATTGCACTCTTTTTTAACAAATCAAAAAGCTCTTTAGTACAGAGCAAATTTGACGACCTTTAGGAATAAAAGATTGTATCAGATTGCATTACACAATTCACTTCTGGCTGGTCATAGGTCCTCTCAAAGTAAAAAAGAGTAATATCATACCCTATCCCTCTCTCCTTAACTTTCATTTCTCTTCCTCAATTCATAGCTAGATGTAAAGGTGCGATTGAAGTAGCAGTGCGATGGAGGTGCAATGTCGCACTGTACTTTGTGGTATTTGACAAAATTATGCCTTGATTATTTTTTTCAAAATATTGCAGCGGGAAATTGTGCTTTGCAATCTGGACTTACTAAGTACAGTGATTTGCAGAAAGTTACAATCCTAATTTTAGAAACTAGAGAAACCTGTAATAGCGACCACAACTTTTTGAACGATAATTTATCTACAGTAACTTCAACTGCTTCTTCAAAGAATTACAAAAGTCCAAAAAAGACGCTTTATCTAAAATCTAATCCAAGCTAGACAGGACCAACATCTTAAAAAAATAAAAGCAAAAAAGGTTGTCTTTATTAAAATGTTTTTTTATATTTATCTATCTATTTATTATAATTATTTGATTTAAAAGTGCTGAAACCTCTGTGGCTCCCTAAGCTTGATAGTAACATTTCTACTAAGTCAAACGATTAGGTAAAGACTCAACTTGGAAGTCATTCCAGTTCCGTAAGCTGTAAAGTTTTTACATACTAGATTTGCACATTTATTTTTATTTTTTAATGAATAGTAAATAAAGATAAGATTAATGAAAAAATAACAGCCCATAAAAAAAACAAAAAAAATAAATTACAAATATACCGTATAATTCTACTGTAATTACACATCTAACACCTAAAATGTAATATTTTTAAAAAGTTAATATTACTGATATTTTATGATATATTAAGGATTTAACCTTTATGGATACAAGTGAAAAAATTTAGGTGATATGTAAATACATATGAATTGCATGGTATATATGTAAATGCCTAATGTTGGGTTAACTATTCCAAGCAATCTTTTCATCGTAACTAGGGTTAAAGGCAGGACTCAGAGTGGTTTAATTATATTACCAATTCAAAGTCTAGTGAAGAGTCAACTTAATTCGTTAGAACTATAAGAAAATCAGAGCTTCTCATTTTAGGACTCTTTTGAGAAAAAAATAAATTATTTATAATTTATTTTTCTACATTAAGAGAATAATAATATAACTAATATAATTAAGTCTAATCAGTGAAGTAATTTTGCTAACAAAAATAAATCATCATGATATAAATTATAAATAAATTAAGTTTATAATCACAATTATGAATAATTGAATAATCTTCTCATATAAATAAATTTGACTCATGATTCATATTTTTCTTCGCTCTAATTTCTCAACACTTCTCAAACGAATAAATTGAATATTTTGCTTGTGAATAACCTCGTTTTCTAATATTTGCGTGCATTTTATAAACTACAATGCTCACTTGTTATTAGTTTCAATATATTGTAGGAAAATTTGCATAAATACCTGTATAGACTAAAGCTGTCAGCACAAATCTAAAAGCAACCGAACGACCCAAATAACGACCAAACGATCGAGGCCTCTTATAGTCCTAGAACCAACCATGTAATCAAGAAGCGGCCGACACACTATGGAGAGAGATCCGAACGACATATCACGCATGCAGCCCTGACCGACCAGAGCACAGACGAGAATCTTTGATTGCGGCTAATCGACCAACCCACTTTTACCATAGCGGACGAGAACAACATTCGACCGAGCGTCTCACACAACTAACACAAAGCACGGTCGCCGCTCAGCCAATTACCTCAATCAATCGAATTCAAATAAATTAGTCAAATGGTTATCGTCATATTAAAATTCAAATTATAATACAGATATTACATGAAATTCATACAATTAATTAGAATATCAATATTATTAAGAACAATTTCCATAACTACTCCCTCCTTTTTTGTAATTGTACAAAACATGCATTGATAAGTACGAGGCAAAAATACTAATAGAAGGGGCTATACTGGTTCTCTCTAAAGTGAACTCTTGACTTATTCAACTCTTTCTTTCTCTTTCTTTCTTGTCCGGTTCTAACTCTCTGGACGTGTTAACAAAGAACAATTTAGGATTCAACAATACCACACAATTATTACGTCTTTACATATCTAACATAAAATTTTTATATTTATATTTAGGGGCATTTACGTGTCTAACTACTTAAAATTTTAGTTTGGGACTTCATAAGTTTATCCATTACGAGCCCCCGCGAAGCAAAAGAACGATCGACAAAGAAAAGTAGAGCAAAAGCTCGTGAGACGCAAGAAAATTATAGAAGGGAAAAATAGCACGAAGCAGACAAATTTAGGGAGCTGTATCCATGACCTATTTATAATAATGAGTGATTTCAAAGTCAATAGAGTATGAATCATTGAGATCATTTAATAGTAACTTATTGTTTATTGCTTTTAATCCTCTCATTCTTATGACAACATAGCTTACTAAAATACAAAAGAATCGGATAACTAAAATATATACAACAATAATGCTCTTATCGAATACTTTGCGGATCCAACGGCTCAGAATAAGACGTGTCAAAAGGCAAATCTCGAGCAATGCAGTAGTATATGAATAAAGGATAATTGAACAATAGAGGACGTTTGATCAGAGACCGATTAAGCAGGCAACCAATTAAAAACCGATCGAGCAGACAACTGATCAAACACTGGCCAAACAAGCTACTGATCATAAGTTGATCAATTAAGGGTCAACCGATCAAAAACCAATCGGAGCAGGAGACCGATCAGAACCTGGTTGATTAAAGGTCGACCTTCTCGAGGCTAATCGGCTTCGAGGTCAGCCAATCAACAAGAAAATGGCCGACTAGAGACCATTCAATTAGGAATTAACTAGGTTAAAATTGATTGATCAGAACTCAGACCATAAAAAAAATTAAAATTATAAGTGTCATCTCACGATAGTTATAGCTTCTATAAATCAAGAGAGCATTAAATGTAAAAAGGGGCAATCTTTATTTGGAGGATGGGAACTTGACAAAGTGAGGATGCTTGAAAGGTCATTCTCTCTCTCTTCTCTCTTCTTTTTACTATGTCTTGAGTGTGATTCACACACAAATTTAGGGTCAATATGTATTTACATATCTAACACCTAAACTTTCTAATTTATTTGCATAACACTCAATTTTTAAATATCATATAAAAAATATCACTAACATTTTAAAAAGAGCGATACATTTATTTCTATTGTATAGAGTACGACATCAAATTAAATGTAAATATTTAACTTTAGGTGTCGGATAAATAAATACATAAGAATTAAGTGGTATGTACTTAAATTTCCCAACATTTTTGGGAGGACATTCAAAGAAATAAAAATTGGATTTTTACATATCAACCACCCAAAATATTAAATATAATATTTTAAATTCCCAAACTTTAAATATAACATTTTAACCACATCTTTCATCACAACCACAATATGATTTCGAGCCGAGCCAAGGTAAGCTCAAAATCCGCTTGAAAAAAATTCGATCCAAAATTTTGGCGCTTAGCTCGGCTTTTTTATTTCTATTTGATCTTGATCGAAGCCAAACTTTGAATCAACTTTCAAGCGATTAATGATCTACAAGCTAAATTCGCTAAATGTTTAGCCCTAACATCACTAGGGTTGTTCACAATCCGATTTTTAGCAGAGCCAAGGTTGACTCAAAATCGGCTCGAAAAAAACTTCAATCTAAAATTTTGGCTCTTATCTCAACTCGTTTATTTCCATCTGATCTCGATCTGAGCCAAAATTCAAATCATTTTTTGAGCCATTAATGATCTTTGAACTAAATTCACAGCCCTCCTAAACCGACTCAAAAAGGTTTTTTTATTTAAGATTTTGATTGGTTAAAATATTATATTTAAAATTTGAAAGGTTAAAATGCTATAATTAATGTTTTAGATTGTTCATATCTAAAAACCTCCATAAAAAAATAATAAAAAGCAAAAGTGAAATGATCATATAACGCTTTAATCTGTTATAAATTTCTATTCCATAACTTGCATGAAAATTAAAACAATAATAATAATAAGCATAAAGGGGGTATTCGGAACAAACTTCAAATAGAATTTAATCATGAATTTCATCTAAATCCAGCAAAACATCAAAAATAAAATAAAACCAAATCAAACTCTGTTAAAATCAAATCTCTCGTGTTCAGTTTATTCCCGTTCCATCTCTTCTGTGATGAAAATCCAGATTTATCAAATCTAACTAGAAGACAACAGATTACGCAAATTTACTTCGTACTTTCTCATTTGATCCATCTCTACCGACTGAAATTCACGAATTTGATAAATCCCCTTCTACCGCGCCCAAACATCGAGCGATTTCAGCGTACGGGCTCCAATGAGAAAATTATTTAAAATGAGGTACATTGACATACACATTTTAAAGTAGGGGTTTTTAATTGGTTCACTGTACAAAATTTTGATCACGGTGTGTGTGTGTATATATATATAATAATTTTACCGAATTTACATATTTTAGATGGACATGTTAAACCAAAAAAAAAAAAAAGAGCTTATTCCTGTATCCCATGGTGTGGACGCGGCCCTCGCGACCTCCCTCCAACATCTCACCCACCTCCCTCCCAAAAGCCCCAACAAATCCAATTCCAAACCCTAAACAACTTCCCCTTGATGGCTTCCCACCCACCATTCCCGATCCACTCCCCACCCTCTCCAACTCCCCACCCTCTCCATCGCACCCCCAGCCCCTCCCTCCCTCCTCTCCCGCTTCCTCCACTCCCATCTCCCTCCCTCCTTCACCTCCGCCGATCTCCTCCAGTTCCTCCGCGGTCGCCTCCGCCACCACCCTCACTTCTCCCCCTACGATCTCCACGTCTTCCTCTGGGCCTCCTCCTCCTCCGATTCCTTCCGCCATGATCACTCCACTTACGAGTACATGACTCGCTCCCTCTCCTCCTCCTCCCGCCTCGATTCCCTCCTCCTCCTCCTCCGCTACCTCCTCACCCCCCCCCCCCTCCCCCTGCTCCACCTCCACCACCACCGCCGCCGCCGGGAGCATCTTCTCCTGCAACCGTCTCCCCCACATCTACCGCTCAGCCATCGCCGCCTTCTCCCGCGCCGGCCGCCTCGCCGACGCTTCACATACCCTCTCCGACGCTCTCCGATCCATCGACGGCCCCCCCGATGCTTCCCTCTACAACCCCCTAATCCACGCCTTCGCTCGCCGCGGTGACCACCGCGGCGCCGTGGATTGCTACGACGCCATGATCGAAGCTCGCGTGAAACCCGATACGCATACCATCAATATCCTGATCAACAGCTCTTGCCGGAACTCCGATTTCAATTCCGCCCTAAAATGGTTTCGAGAGATGAGATCGAAGAACTTGGAACCCAATGTGGTCAGTTTCAATACTCTGATAGCCGGATTTATGAGGGAGAAGAAATTCGAGGAAGGGATTAGCGCTGCGCGCGAGATGATCCAGCTTGGCTTTCGACCATCGTCTTCCACCTGCGAGATTCTGATTCGTGGGCTCTGCAGGGATGGAAGAAGCGAAGAAGCGTGCGAGCTTGTCATGGATTTCATGGCGATGGGGATTGTTCCGGAGGATTTCGATTCGTTGGGGCTGATTGAGAGGCTTTGCGGGGAAGGGAAGGTGGGGAAAGGGTTGGAGATTGTACAATTGTTTTGGGAGAAGGGGAGGAAGGTGGGAGTGGTGACCTGCACTACTTTGATTGAAGGTTTGAGGAACTTGGGCGAAGTGGAAGAAGCTTTTGGAGTGATGCAGAAGATGGTGGAGAAGGGGATTTTGCCTGATACAATAACCTTCAATTGTGTTATGGATGATCTCTGCAAGTTAGGGAGGGCGGCGGATGCGAATGAATTTAGGGTTTTTGCTACGGGTAAGGGTTTTGATCCTAATGGCGCGACATTTTCGATACTGGTGCGAGGGTTTGGGAGGGAAGGGATGAAGAAGGAAGGGGAGAGGGTGGTGGATGAAATGTTGGATGCTGGATTCATATCAAATATAGCCATTTATAACAGATTGATGGAGGATTTGAATTCTCGTAAGTGAATGGTTCTGGGCATTTACATATATTGTTATTGTTATGGTATGACACATATATCATATAAGGAACAGATACTGGAACGAAGCGGAGCGGAAGAATCTGTCCAAATCAGGGGAGTTTCTTTATGTGGGTTGGGGGTGCGGTACAGGGGTAATTTGGTAATTATATATTGTACTCAAAGTTTTCTAGGATTATAAATAAGTCTGTATGTAACATTTTTCTGTATGTCATATTCTATTATGTACTCTTTTCTGAAATAGAAAGAAAGTCGTCGCTCTGCTTGCTCTCGATGACGTAGACATCTTTGCCGAACCTCGTTAAATCTTTGTGTGTTCTTCTGGATGTGTGTTCTTCTGGATTTCTTCTGGATTTGTGTCGATTCTTATTTTACTTCGCCCTAATTTCTCCACATATATATTTACATTATCTAACACCAACACTTTGTTTTTAAATATTAAATCAAAAGTATCATTGTATTGGTAAGGTGTCATTTATGTAGTAGCTGAAGTTTAGGTGTGAGGTATGTAAATACATAGGAATTGAGTGGTATTTATGCATCAAGAAGCTTTTTTTTTTTTTGTAGCGCAAACAAACCATGCATTGATGTTAATGAGAGGACATGATTAACTTCTTTTATTTTCCTTTGTTTTGATTTTAGGCTTTAAACTGATTCTTAAATTATAAATACATACCAGCAGTTCTAGGAATCCAATATACATAGCGGACAACTAGGTATAAACAACAATGAGCAAGAGACAAGGAGTGTATTTGGGCAATTTTGTCAAAATGTTATTTTCTAGACAGTTATTACAAGCCATATTGCTTTTCAAACAATTGCGCTGGAACAAAAATTGTGGCAGTTTTAATAAATTTAGTGAATAATGTAAATTCACATTTATTAAATCCAAAAGGGTTAAATCTAACTAAATTCCTTTGAAGTGTTTGGCGACGAGAGAAGCAACAGCCCAAATGTGTGTTTTCTTTCACTTAAATCCATTAATTCCTAATAATTGTATTTAATGAATCCAGGATTTACATTAAAACAGAGGAAATATTAGATTTATGAGATGAGGAGCTTTATGTACAGGTAAGGTGGCATATATGCAAAAAGTAAAGTTTAGGTGTTAGATAGATAAATACATAAGAATTGAGTGGTATTTATGTGAATCTTACTAACTAAAATCCAAAAGGACCAATACCTCCAGTAACGGTGTAATTGTGTCACTCCAAATAAAATAGCTCCAACAGAAGCTAGCGATCCAGCTATTACGCAGCAGTGCCATAAGCTATGTTATTCACTTCAGTAACATGATACGAATACCTGCACCATAAAATAAGCATAGGAAAAGCTTAGTGGAAGAATATTATAAACAGGCGCTAAACTAAATAATGATATTTATACAGGAATAATCTTTTTCTTCATAGGTAGGCCTATAAAAGATAAGGAAGATTTACATACATACATACAACTCAGTTCATATGCATTTACATATATAACACCTAAACTTCAATTTTTACATATATGACATCTTACCTATGCATGAGAAGTATTTCACTTTTTTAAAGTTAGAATGATGACATTTGTTTATGTAATATGAAACATTTTGGTAAAGTTCAGATGTCGTGTGTCGATTCTTATTTTACTTCGCCCTAATTTCTCCACATATATATTTACATTATCTAACACCAACACTTTGTTTTTAAATATTAAATCAAAAGTATCATTGTATTGGTAAGGTGTCATTTATGTAGTAGCTGAAGTTTAGGTGTGGATCAAATCATTAAAATGTGTGAATGTTTTAGATATCTCGGGCTTATTGTTCAAAGTGATGGTAATATAGATGTGGATGTTAATAGTAAAATTCAAACTGGTTGGTTGAAGTGAAGGAATGCATCGGGCCTATTGTGTGATAGAAAAGTTGTGATAGAAAAGTACCGCTTAGAAAGTACCGCTTAGACTTAAAAAGAAAATTTAATAAGATGGTGGTGAGACCTGTAATGCTTTATGGTGCAGAAAGTTGGCCTTTAAACGGGAATGATAAAATTGTGTTGTTGAGATGAGAATGCTTAGGTGGATGAGCAGCTTGACACTTCAGACAAAATATGAAACGAATATTTCAGTGAAAGGGTTGGTGTAGCTCCAGTGACATACAAGATTAAAGAATCATCGTAAATGGTTTGATCACATTAAATGTTGATCGTCTAATGATTCTATTAGGAGAGTGAATATTTTAGATTCGATTTATGTTAAGAAATGCAGAAGTGGGCCTAAAAAGACTTAGGCATATTGTATATAAAATGATCTTAGTTTATTAGAATTAAATGAAAAAAAGACACTCAATAGGACACAATGGAGAAAAAGGCTTATTGTTGTTGTTGTTGTTGTTTTCTGCATAGGAATTGTGGGCTATGTATGTAAATCATCCATAAGAAAATCCAAACTGAAATCTTTGATATGTGAGTTTGTATTTATATGAACTATATATACAAGAAGAATATGTTTCTTCATCTCCTATCTCTTGGAACTATAAAAATACTATATTCGAAAAAGTTGGGCACATAATGGTCTTTTTTTTTTTTGTAGCGCAAACAAACCATGCATTGATGTTAATGAGAGGACATGATTAACTTCTTTTATTTTCCTTTGTTTTGATTTTAGGCTTTAAACTGATTCTTAAATTATAAATACATACCAGCAGTTCTAGGAATCCAATATACATAGCGGACAACTAGGTATAAACAACAATGAGCAAGAGACAAGGAGTGTATTTGGGCAATTTTGTCAAAATGTTATTTTCTAGACAGTTATTACAAGCCATATTGCTTTTCAAACAATTGCGCTGGAACAAAAATTGTGGCAGTTTTAATAAATTTAGTGAATAATGTAAATTCACATTTATTAAATCCAAAAGGGTTAAATCTAACTAAATTCCTTTGAAGTGTTTGGCGACGAGAGAAGCAACAGCCCAAATGTGTGTTTTCTTTCACTTAAATCCATTAATTCCTAATAATTGTATTTAATGAATCCAGGATTTACATTAAAACAGAGGAAATATTAGATTTATGAGATGAGGAGCTTTATGTACAGGTAAGGTGGCATATATGCAAAAAGTAAAGTTTAGGTGTTAGATAGGTAAGTACATAAGAATTGAGTGGTATTTATGTGAATCTTACTAACTAAAATCCAAAAGGACCAATACCTCCAGTAACGGTGTAATTGTGTCACTCCAAATAAAATAGCTCCAACAGAAGCTAGCGATCCAGCTATTACGCAGCAGTGCCATAAGCTATGTTATTCACTTCAGTAACATGATACGAATACCTGCACCATAAAATAAGCATAGGAAAAGCTTAGTGGAAGAATATTATAAACAGGCGCTAAACTAAATAATGATATTTATACAGGAATAATCTTTTTCTTCATAGGTAGGCCTATAAAAGATAAGGAAGATTTACATACATACATACAACTCAGTTCATATGCATTTACATATATAACACCTAAACTTCAATTTTTACATATATGACATCTTACCTATGCATGAGTAGCTTGAATTCGAAATTTTTCTTATATGATGGCATGTAAATAAATTTATTATGAAAGCTTTATGCACATATCACTTTTTAAAAGTTCGGGCATTTATTTTGTTATTTGAAAATTATTAAATGGTATGCAAAAAATAATGTTATGGATGGTCTTACTGGACATCTACAAGGGGATGTACCTTGGTGTATGCTTTTTGCTGATGATATTCTTCTCGTGGATAAAACGAGAGAAAAAGCCCAGGAAAAACTTGAATTATGGAGGTCTACATTGGAGTCTAAAGGCCTACGTTTGCGTAGATTTAAAACTGAATTTATGGAATGTAATTTTAATAGTAGTAGATCTAGTGACGGAGTTGTAACTATGGTGTCAAATCATTAAAAAGTGTGATTATTTTAGATATCTCGTGTAAATTGTTCATAATGATGGTGATATAGAATTCAAGTAGTGGAGGAATGCATCAGGTTTATTGTTTGATAGAAAAGTTTCGCTTAGACTTAAATGATGGTGGTGAGGCCTACAATGTTTTATGGTGCAGAAGGTTGACTTTTAAAAGAGATTATAAAATAAAGTTAAGTGTCGCTGAGAGGAAAATGCTTAAGTGGATGAGTGGCTTGACACTTAGAGACAACATTATATATTCATGGTACGGTTGGTGGTGCTCTAATGACAGAAAAGATTAGAGGGAGTCATCTTAGATAGTTTGGTCACATTAAATGTAGACCATCTGATGATTCAATTAGGAGAGTAGATATTTTAGATTTGACTTATGTTAAGAAATGCAGAAGTGGGCCTAAAACGACTTAGGCATATTGTATATAAACTGATCTTAGTTTATTAGAATTAAATGAAAATATGACACTCAATAGGACACAATGGAGAAAAAGGATTCATGTTGCTGACCCCATTTAGTGGGATAAAGGCTTGTTATTGTTGTTGTTGTTTTCTGCATAGGAATTGTGGGCTATGTATGTAAATCATCCATAAGAAAATCCAAACTGAAATCTTTGATATGTGAGTTTGTATTTATATGAACTATATATACAAGAAGAATATGTTTCTTCATCTCCTATCTCTTGGAACTATAAAAATACTATATTCGAAAAAGTTGGGCACATAATGGTCTTTAATCTAATGATAATCAAGGACAAACTTTCAATGTAATACAGTCTTGTGATGCACCTGCACCAGCACCTGCTCCTACAAGGGGGAGAGCCAAAGGGAGAGCTCTTGCTGCAGATGACTAGTCAGTCCAAGGAGGATCGGTCTGGACCAGTCGAAACTCAGCCACACCAGTCGGTGGCCTGGTCAAGCCAACCAACCCGGTCTAGGAAAGGCTGAGCACGATTTCAACGCCCGGATGAGACTCACACAGTTGCTAATCACGTACAAGAGGAGGCTTTGGGAGAGAAAGTTTGAAAGGAGATCTTGGAGAGTATTTATGAGGTGTAATTAGCTAGG